GATGTGAAAACTCCGCTCGTTCAAACGAAAAATCTAAGTCTACTGGAAAACACCGCTAGTAAATCGCAAATAACAATCCATTCACCAATGAGCATTTTTCATCGACAAAGGTTATATATATATATATATATATGAAACAAAAGGAAAATATGAAGAGTTCATAATATGCGGGGGAATACTTCATAAAATATCGAATGTGGTGTTACCAATGCTTTCTAAATACCTTCAACGACTTCCTCGTTTTATTTTTACTGACGCACCGTTATTTATTAGGGGTATGCAAAAATTTCCATTGTTTTCACGTATAGATGGTATTGTAAATTATTTATGTAAAATTTGCGACACACTTTTTGTTCGATTATGTCAGTATTGGTCAACCTGTATAGAAACTGATAAACATAATAAGTCATATTCATTGACACAACATTTTTAATTCGTCTAAAGATAGAAATCGATAAGATGCATATTCGTCATTGTATACTTTTTTATTTCATCAGCGCAAAACAATAATCGCCGAAGCAACTACAATCATTTGCGAAACTTGTGGCGAAGGAACAATAGCATATTATGAACTCTTCATATTTTCCTTTTGTTTCATATATATAACCTTTCTCGATGAGAAATGCTCATTGGTGAATGGATTATTATTTGCGATTTACTAGCGGTGTTTTCCAGTAGACTTAGATTGTTCGAGATTCGTTTGAACGAGCGGAGAAAGTTCATGTCGTGAGTGGCTTCGCTTTAAAAGTGGCGATTTTGACTTGAAAGACAAGGAGCATGCCGGACGCCTGCAAGAGATGAGTTCAAATAACTTGAACATTATTGCAAGAAGATCCGACTCAATCGAGTGTAGAACTTGCGAAAAGCATGTTTACATGTTAATCAGAGCATTAATTAGTAATTCGACACTTGCATGAGATGGGGAAAATTCTGAAGGAAGAAAAATGGGTTGCCCATGAATTATCCGAGAACGCTATTGCCAGCCGAATCGCCATTTGCCTTTCGGCCTTGACCGGAGACGAAAAAATGGTTTTATTATGACAATCCTAATTGCAAAAGATCTCGGGAAACCCTCTATGTCACAGCCAAAACGAAATATCTATGGTCATAAAGTCCTCCTGTGTATCTGGTGGGACATGCAAGGAATGCTGTATTATGAGCTATTAAAACTATCTCAAACTATCACCGCGGAATTATATAGTCGACAATTGAAGCAGTTGAATGAACAATCAATCGAGAAACAGCCATATTTTGTGACAAAATAAAGTGATTCTTCTGCACAACAATGCCAGGTCCCATGTTGCATTGACGATCCGAGAAATTTTAATTGAATTGCAATCGGAAATCCTACAACACTCGGCATTACTACAGAAATTGCCCCTTCGGATTTTCACTTATTTCTATGCTCTATGTAGCACAGCCTTTCTGGTACATGATTTCGCAATGTTGAGAAAGTGCAACAATTCATCGATAACTTCATTCATTCTAAGAGCAAAGACCTTTCTGATCGTGGTATCCATCTTTTGTTTGAAAGAGAAAAAAATAGTAGATAATGCCAGAAAATATTTTAATTAAAAGTACTATGTCATTTATAATAATATTAATAAAGAACATTGCCTTAAAAGCGATGGAAATTTTTGCATACTCTTAATATTTCACAATTAGCCCACACACAAACACACACCATGCATATCAGCTATTTTTTTCCCCGTGATAGACGATATATATGTTTTGTTTATCATTTATTTAATAAAATTGAATATACACACCACGTAATTGGATATATTTGTATAGTGTGTGACCATTGTTTAGTTTCACATGAAGAATGAAAGGATGAAATCAAGTGTGTGTGTGTGTGTTGTATTGTATCTGTATGCGAATATACATGCGCTTGCTTAACAAAAACCGCGCGTGGCGATGCAAAGACTTTGCTTGCGTAATGTTACATGTCACAATGCAAGCTCTTGAAACCTTTATTTTAAAATCTCGTTTATCTCTCAACAGTGCGATTCTAGACCTGGACCCGTATCCAGATGATAAATATCAAAAATATGCAGCTCAGTAAATATTGTATACTCCAAGCATGACATGTATTGTTGCCATGGCTGAATCGTCCATTGGCACATTAACTGGCATACTACCAGAGCATTCGGGTTCTTGGATGAATTTTATAAAATATTAAGATTTATGGAAATCTATTACTAATTCATTCCTCTTATTACTTATGTAACTTTGCTTTTTAGCATTTGGTAAAATCTGCACAGGAATGCCGAAAATTGGCAGCGGGTGCCGACTATTAGATAGATGGCTACTAGACAGCTTTTTACTTATTTTGTGAAACGGATTGAGTACATTTTTTTTACTGAAGTTAGGAATACATTAAACAGTCTTATAATATAAATAATAGAACACATTTGTAACGAAAAATAATATATCGTTACTTTTAAATAGTTTCAGAGAGAAGACTGGGAACTTTATGTATAAAACTAAGTAGTCGAGAGAATCTATACCTGTGGTCAGCTGGTTTCGTTACTTCATTGTGGAATTGTAAATAACGTTACGAGTTTTCTATAAACAATCCACAAATCATACGTGATTAACAAAGAGTATTACTATTGCTGATTTATTTTTTCTCTAAATATGAATACTTTTTTTCATATAGAAAAATCCATGAACGCGAAATATAATTTAATGATTATTTAATCGCTTATTATCATAATTATTCATTATATTTAATCCCTTATTATATCATAATTATTTATTACATTATAGGAATCTACGTATATGACAATTATCCTCCAGTTGAAGTTTAATTTTTTGCTATATTTTATAAATTTTTCTTTCTTCCATGTCTCAAGATCAGTCTCTAATTTTAAGTCCTAATTTTAAGATACAAGAAGTCTTCTATATGCTGTAAGTTTTTTTCTTTCCTTTTCCTATTAAAGAGAGAACAAATAATGACTGAAATGTTTGGACAATTTTATTTTGTTTGAAAGATTTTCGCCGTTGACATCTGGCGTATACTCTGATGGGATTTTTATAATACTATTGACTAGCAATCTGCTATTAGAGCTTTAATAATTTATTTTTTATATTTCTTATACTTCTATAATTTATAAATTTTTATTTGTTTTTATTATCCCACTATATCCCACATACGTAAAAAAATATTTCAAGTAAAAATTGAAGTTATTTTATCTATCACATTTTTTGCTCAGAAAATGACAATTATCATTTGCCAAGATAACTAAAATTTTTGACAGATGGGGCATCGCTAAATTATTTTCTGTTCTTTTATAAAATATCATTTCTCAAGAATGTGATCTCGGACAGATACTTCTTTTTTTCAATAGGTTGAAAAATTACGAATGCTTTCTGAAACTAGAAAAATTCTATATTTCTCTCCGTGTTTTATTAAAAAATAATAATTATAAACATCGGAGATCAAATAACGTTTGGAATAAAGAATAAAGACTTGAAATAATAAAAAAAACTGTTTCCTGATTGTTTTTACTCATAGGGCGACCCAATAAGAGGTGCAGGATAAAGTTGGTGCCGTTTTCCTTGTGTGCACTGCACACACACACACACACAGCGCTGCGATTCTTCGACTGCTGTGTTCTAGAGGTTAGGGAATATCGAAATGGAGCGTTATATGGTGCAGCAGCGCGCGCGTGTCGTACAGTTTTGTGAAAATTAGTGTTCGGTAACACAAACAAAACGTAAATTTCGCGATTTTTTGAAACATTTCCCATCTGACAATATAATTCGCAAGTTAATTAAGAAATTTGAAAAGCGTGGGTTCAGTTTATGATAAACCTGTGCTTGCATGACGCCGTCATGCTCGTTTGACAGAAAACATTGCGGCCGTTAATAAAAGTATGGAGAATGCTCCGCAAATATCAATCCGATGTTCGCGACAAGCTAACCTTTCGTACGTACTATGCTATAATTTTAACAAAAGATTTCAAAAGGTTTCAACTCACAGGACAGTGTACATATCAAAGCTCGTGAAACCATGCAGTTATTGCATAAGTTTCCTGATCGTGTTATCTCGCGGAATGGTGACGTCAACTGGATCTTGAGATTTGACGCCTCTGGACTATTCTCTTTGTGATTATTCGAAGGAGCGAGTTTATATCAACAACCTTGAAACGCTTGAAGCGCTTGAAAGAAAATATTCGACGAGAAATTGGCGAAATTCAACCTTTTATGCTGCAAAAAAGATATTAAAAGCTTTATTAAATGAGTAATAATTTGTAAAAAGGTGGAGGTGGTCATTTACATGATGTTTTTCATACGTAATTCCCATTTCTAACGAACACACTGGTATAATAAAAATAATAATTTACAGATAATTTCGTTGTTTCATTTATATATATGTGGAAAAAACTGATACTATCCTAAACGACTTACGAATCACACCGCGTTAGCGGGAAACTGTGGATCACATGGAAAGTTAATATTATGTTGTGATACACCCATTTGCGTTCGTAATAATAGATCTGTTCCTTTTAGGTGCACCAATGCTGTTCCATGCAACGTTATTCCTTCTCCTTTCAATGATGAATTATACACTTTCATTCTGGAGAAAAAAAGTGTAATCTAGTACAACGAAACAGAAGAAACCTACCATTTGGGCGGGACAGAAAATCACGATTGCGTGCAAATGACGCGAAAATGCTGGGAAAATAATCAAATCACGATCAAACCGTGACTTTTTCTTATGGACCTCCTCTAAGGACCTCCCGTCCTTTTCACGTCATCGTGACTTTCCGTTCCGCTAAAGCGATTGGCCGCCGAAACGAAAACGGAAGACTCGCGCGCTGTCACGTGTTCCCGCTGAAACGTGTGCGATGAAAACGGAACGCTAGCGCGGGTTTATCAAACTGAACTCTTCATTTCTCCGACGCACACGTGAACGTGAACGGCCTCTATGCCGTCAATCTGTGCTCGCGCATGTGCTACACGCGTGTGCGACCACTCATAAACGTACTTACCGATCGTTGTCCTTGAGACGACTTGCGGCAGCGGGAAGGCAGCGAGGAGGAAGAAATATCCACCGGTGATCTTCGGACGGGCACACGTCACCGTCGATGATCGGCACGAGGCTTACGTAATAAATGAACGACGTACTCGCGACACGCACACTGGACGATTCAAGTCGCGATACAACGCGGTATACTGAAAGATCCCTCCCTCTCTCCCTCCAATCGGCGACGCGAAGCTGATAGGCGTGAGAGCAGGAACACGGCGGCAAAATCGTGCGCGCCAATCACTCGCGTGGATTAGTAGACGCGCGCACACGGAGTTATACGGATGAAGAGCGCAACTCGTGCGTCTCCTTGAGTCTCCTCGACGACGATCTCGCGCACGACGAGAGCACTGGTAACGGGCCGAGATAACGAGAGCGAGACGAGAACGACACACACAACGCACAGCAACGTAACACGATCCCCTTGCGACAAAGGCCGGAGCGCGACTGAAATCATTTGCTCTCTCGTGCGCGCCGTATACCGCGCTGGATGGTCGCAGTGAAGTGCGCGTCGCTCTCAGCCGCGCCACCGTGGGGGCGCGCGGGCAGTGGCGGCGGCGGCGGCGACGGCGGAGGAGTACTGTACCTGTCAATCTCTCCCTCGCGTGGCCTCACACGATCATTCTCTCTGCACTGCGCGTCGACAAGATAAACGGGCCCGCCGCCCAGCGCAATTTGCAATTTTATAATTTCGCGAGCGCGATTATCTCCCTCCCCCCTCTCACCACTCCTGCCAAGTATCATTCGCAGCAGCAGTCGCGTCTCGAGAAACAGAGAGAAAAGGAGAGAGAGAGAGAGAGAGAGAGAGGGGGGAAGCGAGAGAGAGAGAGAGAGAGAGAGAGAGAGAGAGAGAGAGAGAGAGAGAGAGAGCAACGAGGAAAGATTGAACCCGCTTGAGTCTTTCCCGCGCTCAGTACCACGTGATCGCGCGTTCGCAACGGAATGATTTTATGATTTGCGCGAGAAGCGACACGGAGGGTCGATTCCACTCCGGGAACCGACGATCGCGCGAGTATCATGACCCGATTTCCGATCGCGCTCGCGTACGTGGCTACACATGCAATACGAGACTCCGTAATGCCGCGCTGCGTCGCAATTAGAACGTCGTAAAGGGGCTGTAATCGCGTTAAACACTACCTTGCTCGTAACCGCGCGGCGTGCCTTTGCATCGGGACTGGAATGATTTCGATTTTAGCTGGCACACCTATGTGTATTTGTATATACACGAATGACGTACTTGCGATCAAAAACATCCGGATATGTGAATATCTAGGTTTTAATAATTTGCCTCAACATCATAACACGCATTATATTAGGTGTACAAATGAATAATCAAAACTTTGTTAAGCGGCTAAGAAATTAAGTCCCAAATAATCAAATTTTCTCGCTCTTTTACGGTTATGTAGTGTGTTAACATACAGCTATTAAAAGTTACATTTAATATGGCGGAAGGCCCAACATAACCTTAAAAATTATTCAGTTCAGTACAGTTAAAAATGGTAACAGATAAAATGCATATCCGACACTGTATTCTTTACGAATTCCAACAAGGAAAAAATGCTGCAAGAATGCATACGAATCGATTTATTTCTTTCTCAGCAAAGGTGTTGTATCGTATGATGTGTGTGCATTTTGGTTTAAATGGTTTAACCCTTTCACTGTTGAACTAACTTCCCTTGAGAAAATTATTAAAATATTTGGTAGTCCTACGTTTTTTGAGACGCTGATTGCGAATTTAAAGTCAGATTTGCAAAATTCAAAAAGGTGGACTCAATATGGCGATCATGATGTACAAAATTAATGAAAATTCCAATTATTATTAAATAATGATCAGGCTGTAATAAGAACATATGATTCTAGACGATGGAACTCGATCGAGCTGAAAAAAATTTATGTGGGAAGATGTTCGATACTGCATATTTATGCTTACTAGAGATTAAACATTCATTTTTGAGTAAAATAATATTGATAGTATGGATAAGAGATAGAAATACAGAATGAAAAAACTAGGAAAATAGAATTAAAAACTGCAAAAATATCAAATTTCGGCCGTTATTGTAGAAATATTTGTTTATAAAAAAAATCTAACCTGCAAAAAAATACTGAAAAAAATGTTTTTGTACAACATCAGAAAAATATTTGGTGAAAATTTCAAACCTCTACATTCAATATTCTCCGAGGAATCGATTTTTCCCAAAGAACATTTTTTTTCAATTTTGATTTGTTATAAATAATCACAAATGAATAATTGGGTATAAAAACCTATTGGAATATGTTGAACTATTCAGTTATCTGGAAAACTCAAATCCCTGATTAGTTCTTCAAAATTATGTGATTTACAACGCAAAATTGAATCAAGAAAAAGTGGGAAGTATACTTTCCACTAACAGTAAAAGGATTAAAAGCGGCGATTTCAATCAGTGTGACAAAGAACATCCTGGAGACCCTCGGAAGTGCGGCAACAATGATTTGGAGCAACTACTCGCTAAGAATTCAGTACAAACGCAAAAAGAGCTTTCAGAGCAGTTAAGAGTAATGCAACAAACTATTTCCAAACGCCTATATGAGATGAGAAAGATTCAGGAAGAAGGAAAATGGGTTCCGCATGAACTCCCTGAAGCCAACAGAAATCAACGAGTGGTAGTGTGTCTTTCTCTTCTCAATAAGCAGCGTAGAAAGTCTTTCTTGTGGAAAATTGTTACGAGCGATAAGAAGTGGATACTCTATGACAATCCGAAACGTAGAAAGTCATGGGTAAATCCCGCCAAACCATCAACATGGGTCGCAAAGTCAAAACACTTCAGAAAGAAGATTCTGCTCTGCATTTGGTGAGATATGAAGGGCGTGATTTATTACGAGCTATTAAAACCGAATGAAACAATTACTGCGGACCGCTACCAATACCAATTAATCCGTTTGTGTCAAGAATGAGAAAGAAAACACCCGTATAGTAGCAAAGGACAACGTCCTGTGAAATTGTTACATGATAACGCTAGGCCACACATTATTTCTATGACAAAAGACGTAATGAATCTTGATAGTAAATACTTTATTTACTATCAAGAACATATTACTATAATAGTGCCCTAACTTTTGTTAACTTATCGACCTTTGAAAATTTCAAAATTATTAAATTAACAAAAGTTATGGTACTATTATAGTAATATATTCTTGATAGTAAATAAAGTAAAAAAGTTTAATACTATTTTTTCTTTCGACGAATAGTTAGCGAGATATCGTAAGATAAATGTTGGAAAAGTTACCAAGTTGTCCTTAAATATTTCAACAAATATTAACCAAATAAAAAAATGTTTCAGACAAAAGTTGTTCAAATTAGTTGGTAGAAAAAGATATAATAATATATATTAAGATAAAGGTATAATAAAAGATTTGGATTTCTATTTAAGAAAATTGATGATCAGTGAATATCTCGAAAGTGACGCCATCTATAAACAAAATGCTATTGCTGTCTTATGTCCCCCTTCAAGCCAAACAACTTTTGTCTGAAACATTTTTCGCTTTAACGGAATGTTTTTGAGATATTTGAATGGGTCCTTTAAAATGGGACACCTTATGTGTGTGTGTGTGTGTATATATATATATATATATATAATATGCGCAATATGCTAAATGAGCTATGATGGCGATGTCTGTCGTATGTTTGTAAATTAATTCCAACTGAGGAAACATCCTATGTATGTACAGGATGTTCCATTTTAAATATTTTGGACAAATATTTCAGAAATTAAAGAAAATACCAAAAAATGTTATCAACTTTTGGAAATTTCGAAATCATCAAATTGACAAAAGTCACGGCGCTATTGTAACAATATCACTTTTTCTTCCAACAAACAGTTAACGAGATATTGTAAGTTAAATATTGAAAAAGTTACCAAGATTTCCTTAAATATCTCAAAAGATATTAGTCAAATAAAAAAATGTTCCAGACGAAAGTTGTTAAAATTGATTGGTAGAAAAAAATTGATGTAATAAAAAATTGAGGTTTCAATTTAAGAAGAGTAATGATCAGCGAATATCTTGAAAGTGGCACCATATGTAAACAAACTTGGTATAAGCAAACGAATACAGCTGTTTTATGTCCCCTTTATTTTTATCTGAAATATTTGTTTCTATAATCAAAAATAAGAAAGTTATTACAGTGAGTAACACACACATACACACACACTTAAAATGACTCACCCTGTATATATGTTTTGTATATCCACCGGTTGATATCTTGCACCTGTCAATCTCCTGGCCACACACAATTATTTCCGATCTGCTGGTCTGTGGCAAGATGAACGGGCCGGCGGTGTGTAATTTACAACTTTTGGATTCGGCGCAATTATCGTCTCGCGGTGCTGCTGTAGCTGTACTGAACGTCCATGTTCGGCCCTTCTCATTTCATGAGCCTTGAATGTCTCAGCCGCAAATAAATATACACGAATGATAATGAGTTTTCTGTCCGCGACTTTGTACTGCTTAATGATGATGCGGTCTACGAATTTACGTTATTGCCGTTACTATTGTCGTTATTATTATAAACATTTCCGCGCGTTTCCGTTGCGCTGTTCATTTTGATTTATGCGCGAGAACGCTCTTGCTGTTTTATACCGGCGACTGACGCGATATACGCGAATCATTTATGCTGGTTACCGATGCACGATAGCCGAATTAAACGGGATACATCCGAGAGCGGGAATAATTATCCATAATCAAGATTGAATAATCGGCAACGTGCGATAATGCGTGTGTATTCGCAATTTGAATCGCGACATGTCAGCGTCCGCGGAGAAATTTTATTATAAAAAGAGATCTGTGTTTTGATGTACGCGTTGGCTCGTACGCAACTCAAGTATTCTTTTACTCCTAATGTTAATTTATTATTAATATGCTTTAATTAATTTTTTCATGTATATATGCGCGCGCACGAAGCGTCACACGAGCAGCACAGAGAATGCGAGTGTAAAAGAGAAAGAAATCATGCAGTGTGACAGCAAGTACAATAAAACAACGCTGCGTACAACTCCGTCACGAAAGGCCTATTGTTCCACTGCATATACGCTGTGAGAAACAAAGCAACAAAGAGCAAAGTACGTAGGACCGCTAATAAACAAATGCCTGTCAACCGCCCGAGAGGGCGTCCGCGCGCGACCAGCAATGAGCATTGAATCACGGCCGCCGGAGTAATAATATCCGCCGTAATCACGTAAAAGAACTCCTCAAGGGCCGAGAGTGCTATTAAGCGCAACGCGCGGGATGAGCGGAATTAATGTCACGCAAGTGAACGAGATCATGCGACACATTGTTGCGTAAGTCGCGTTAACGAGATTGGGAAGTAACATGACACTTTTGCAACGTTGTCGTTATTCAAATTACTTTTTGCTAATAATATTCCAGTAACGCCATTATTTTCTGTTTTAGTTCGATTAATGACTGATATTAAAATAATTATGTAAATATAATAATAAAATAATTATTAAATAATAAATATTAAATAATAAAATAATTATTTCTTGGATATAATCGTTAATTTGGTATTTACACATTTAACACAGATAAAGACTATTTCTTGATTTCGATAATTCTGAGGTGTTTTAAAATTATCACCTTGAATAACATTGTGAAAATGTGGCCAGCGCCCGTTGTTTATTATTAGTAAGTCATCGATAAAGAAAATACAACGAATGGAATGTAATTTTCTGATATCCTGTGTTGATCACACGTTTTCGTATTACATTTCTGAGAGTAAGTTGGTTTATCTTTATTTCTTCTATCTTTGTTTCTCAATATAGTAATAGAGAATACTATTTCAATTTATATCCATCAAAGCGCTCGATTTTGATGAACGAATAGATGTTCTCTTCGAAACAACGGTTATGCCTAATTGAAAATATAAATGAATATATGCTACAGTAACTGCCCATGTTATTGAAGTCAAATGAATAAATGAAATAAAATAAAATGAAATGAATAAAAATATGCAGGATTTTATAAAACTATTATTTTATTTTTCAATATTGTATACATTTGTTGTGTATGTAGAAACGGTATACGCATGCAGGAAAGAGGCTCTTTAAAAGTCATAAATAAAAATTTTTTTTTAATTTTATTGTTCATTAATGCTAAAGAACGTAACTTGTTAATGTATATGTAAGAACAATTTAAATATCTACGGAATAGAAGCGGAATCCTTTCTTCTTGCACTTCAAAAATACCTAACCTAATCTAATTCGTATTATTCTTATACTGATGTACATTATGTACATTATGTATTTATGTATGTATTGCAATACTTTATATATTTCATATACTTTATTTACATATTTCTTAATACAACGTCAGCATACGTCAGAATAAGACTGAAATAGTTTGAATTAGGATAGATTAAGTTTTTTGGAGTAGTGATGTAAGATGAAGGGAGCTTCGCTCCTCCCTCGTATATATTTATACTATACAGGGTGTCCAAAAAGTCCCGGCCCGGTATAACAACTATATTAGTTTGTTTACAGATGGTTCACAGAACTTATCGACTTTTGGAAATTTCAAAATAATTAAATTAACAAAAGTCACTATTGTAACAATATATTCTTGAGATCAAATAAAGTAAAAAAGTCTAGTACCTTTTTCTTCCGACAAATAGCAAGATATCGTAAGTTAAATATTGAAAATATCAAGTTTTCCTTAAATATCTCAAAAAATATTAGGCAAATAAAAAAATGTTTTAGATAAAAGTTGTTCAAATTAATTGGTAGAAAAAGATGATATGAAAAAATTGGAGTTTCTATTATGAAAAGTAATGATCAATGAATATCTCGAAAGTGGCGCCATCTATAAACAAACTGATATGATTGTTTTATGTCCCCCTTGAAGCCATATAACTCTTGTATGAAACACTTTTTCTGAAATGTCTTGTTTTCGAGATATTTTACCAGTCCAGGAAATTTTGTACATCCTGTATATACTTATATTATTTATACACATAGACATCAACAGTTATGTTTTTAGTATTGACATTACTATTAACAGCATTAACAGCATTGACATTGATTATAAGGTTTCTCAAACATTATTTATAATTTTTATAAGAACAATAACCACCGATTAAAATCTTTAGAAACCTTTATTTACGGTGATGACCATAATAACATATCAAAATTATTGAAATCAGAGGATAATCTCTATTTTTATATAATTACCCAAGTACTTATTTTCCATCTTTGAATATGTTTATATGAATTAAATGGTAGTAAATCGTTAAAAAAGAAGTTGTCAAAACCAGATAAGAAAACCAAATAAAAAACCAAGAGAAATTGTTATTATTTGTTATTTCTTGAATAACGGTTTTTTTTTCAAATGACTTCCGGATCACTTTGCTTTCATGTATCACTTTTTTTCTTACGTCTCTTTTCAGTAACTTACAGTAATCTGCCATCATATTTTCGTCCTATTTATCTTGATATCTTCTCTCAATTTCCTTCAAGTCTTGAAATCGCTCGCCTCATTCTTCATTATAATGTCCTAGATTTTCGGGAAAATAGTCGAAATGAAAATAAAGAATGTAATTTTAAATTCATAAGACATCCTAATTTGTTATAGTTCAATAACATAGCTTCGATGATTCTTTTATAGTTTCATAGTTTACTTGTCTTGCCTTCACTTCAGCCGGATTAATTTCAAATCCTACCTTCTTTGGCTAGATCATTTCGAGATCTTGCCTTCAAGAGTATGAGTTTGGGGTGTGTGGATTGAGAGTTCAAAGAACTTGGTTTAGTTGGTTTACAATTTATAATTATTGTAATTTATTATTATTGTAGTTTGTAGGTAGGAATTAATCTGCGTTATTTTAATTTGCGACGTGAATTATGTGATGTTGAACCCTCTTTCCACATGTACGAGTGTATCTCATAAATGTGATGTGATATGAATTTTTGGGAAACGGATTCTATTCCAGCGTATTGAAAAACGTATGTAGAACCTAACGACAGGTTGAAGATTTAGGGTTCAAAGTTCAATATACTCATATCTATCGCTAGACAATAGCCGTTATATAATTGTAGATTAAATCATTCTGAAAAGATCCTTTATCATTTAGCAAATAAGTTTGCGCAAATTTTCAAGTTGTCAATTAAAAGAGTCTCTAGATATGGTCATCTTCAATCATTAATAATTTAATAACTATTGCGATTTTTGCAAAATAGTATATGACTTTCGAAACTCCTAGCCCTAATAATGCAAGCTGCAATGTTTGCGAAACGTCGGCACAAAGCTGAATTACAACGCGGTATTCATCCGGAAGAAACATATCCTGATAGTATATGACTTCTTCTCAGTTTGATTTGATTAATGTTCATAATTTTTCGATTCCAAAAGATCCAGGGACATCCAATATATTTAGCAATGAAAAGGTTAATCGATATGATATATGAATGTCTCATGAACAGGATAAGAAGAGTTGTTTTGATTGCATATCTATTTATGGTTAGCTATATAAATATAATAAAAACGAGGTATTTTTGGAATATTTAGTGATGAGAAAAGAATTATTTGCAACAACATTGTGGGAAAGGATCTTGAGGTCAGAAAAACATTCACATTAGCGCACTCGAAAGTAACCTTTGATCGAAAGAACCCTTACAAAAATATTTCACCGTTTTTGGCCCATTTTCTATCCGTTTCTTCATTTTTATGTCCGTTTCTTGCACTCTCAAGCCCGCGCAGCGTATAAAGCGAAAAATTATGACGAGTATACGCGAGTATGCATGAATATTTTTAAGCAGATTGCCCGTCTTTAACATTCTTTTTTCAGCTGATGAGTGGCTGCACGTTAATAGATACCTCTTTTACTCATTGAAATAAATTAAGTAAAAATATACGTATTAACGTGCTGTTACTCGCAGCTGAAAAAAGAATGTTAAAGACGGGCAATTTGCTTAAAAATACACTTTATGGTACATTTTTATTACTCGGATATACTCGTTTTTACTACTCGACAATCCGTTTTCACCATTCACTGTTTAAGTAAAAGTGTCCCCCTTTCCGACTTAAAAACGGCGTCATACTCGTTGAATTAAATGCACACTTTTTATAATTCAAATTTACAATCAAAACTGATTTTTGAGAGCTAAAAATGGTGAAATATTTTTGTAAAGGAAGTCATGTTCTATGTTTGATGAAATTAAGAGGAAATATAATATACTATAAACTTTTACTAAACAACGAAACTATTAATTCTGATAAATATTCTCTGCAATCAGACCAACTGAAGATAGCGATAAACGAAAAATCTTCGAAATTGTAAATTGTAAAAACGTTATTTTACATTATAACATATGACATAAGGCATGAATGCATCTTTGTTATCGGAAAAAGTTGTAGGACTTCGGCTAGGATGTATTATCATATTCTGCTGATATTGCTTCAGACTATGTTCTGTTAAAACAGTTCTTGAACATGTTCTTCAAAATAGTTTGAACGGTAAATAATTTCCATTTTTTAAGATTTTCAAAATTCACTTGGATAATTTCTTTAATAAAAAGTCGACCCAATTCTACGTTGAACAATAAAGTTACCTAGAAAATGGCTCAACATTGTCTAAAAAAGTGATGCACGAATTATTAATTAAAGTTGTATTGTAATATTTAATTTTAAATATTAATTATTGCAGAAACATCCGAACGAACTTTTTGATTAACCCAATAATTCGGCGCTTTTTCCCAAAAATTAAGATTTATTTATTAATAAAAGAATTTATTAATGAAAGAAGTATACTTTTAATTATCAAAATAATCTTGGTTATTATCAATGACTTTATACCATATTTTAAGCAATTGTTAAATTTCATCATAATAGAAACTTGATGGTTTGAAATCGATAAAATCATCGATAGATTTTCGAACATTTTTCATTGTCTTGTATAAATAAAATTTCGAGTAAAAACATACATTTAGAATAAATATGGAACCATGTATTACATATATTTAAGAAAGAAGGATGTAGTTATTAAAAATTGATGCATTCACCTTAGTTGAATTCATTTTTAACATTACAGTTCCAGCGCGAGTTGACACCAAACAAACCATGTTCCAGTCTAAGAAGCCACGGAAGAACTGCCGAAGAGAGAGAGAACATACACATACACACTGTAACTTTTCCCTTACCTATAATTAAATCTTTCCATCGAAGGATGTTTCATCGAGATATTTTTATATCATTAGGTAGGGGCAGAGGATAACAGATGTACCTCATGAACGAGTAAAGTTGTCACTAGTTGAAGAAGTGCTTTTATTACGAAATCCAATTTCATGTACAGGAGTACTCGATGTCGATTCGCGCGAGAAACGTGTCGCGGATTATTTACAGGATCCCAACGCAAAAAGTTACTCGTGCCGCCGCTTCAGTCGTCGTCGTCTTCGTCGTGATGACTGGACCGATTGTACATACATTGTATGATAGAAATGTATGACAGAAAAAGTCGGCGGAAATTACATATATTTAACGAACGAGTGTGATGAAATATGTATAACTCACAATTTCGATCAGCAATCACGACTCCGTCGGGTAAGTACATCACATCGCGCGCTTGACATTTTAATGACGTAGATTCGTATTTCTTATAATGGATATGAGATGAAATATGAGACTGTGCGCGTCGAGTCCACGTCCATTGTCGCGCAAAATATCGTGTTCGCGATATGCGCCCCCCCCTCTCTCTCTCTCTCTCTCTCTCTCTCTCTCTCTCTCTCTCTCTCTCTCTTTCGTTCTCTCTTTCCCTTTCATCTTGTCTTCCTCGCGTTTTTCTTCTTCTCCTTCAGATCGTCGCACGGCATGCCTGAATTTTCCCAATGCACTAGTGGTGAATTTGTAAGACGCGAACGACGGAAGTGATGGGATGAGGGTGACGATGATGATGACGACGGCGATTAAAACAATGACGATGACGAGCGGTGATGATGAAATGATGACAATGTGAGGACGAGAAGAAAAGCATGAGCCGCGACGTCGAGAGGTATGGCGCAGCTCTACACATCGTACTTGACTGTCTTCCGTGCAGATGTTCCACAAACTTTGACATCAACAAGAGGAAAATATGTAGCTAGGTGACTCTTCGCCGCCTGCAGCAGTTCGAATGAAGTTACGACGCGGGTGCTGTGCGAGAGACAGAAAAGAGAAAAAGAAAGCATTATTATCGGAGAAGGAAATAGCAGTGAAGGCGCTAAGAGCACGGAATTGTAAATTAAGGCTAATGATAAGTCAATGGTGAGTCGAGGAGCAGCTCTCGTCGAATCTCCCCCCCCCAGAGTCGAACCATGCACCATTGTGGACGTGGTTGATGACGACGATGACATCTGATTATTATGATGATGTACATTATCACGTAATTAGTCAGCGATAATTAATTTGCCTACTGACCGGCTATGTGTTGCGTCAGCGGCGCGGCGGATTAGATCTATTTAATCCTTTTGGATGCAAATGAGAGATTTTATTTGGTGTTTAGTTGCCGTTTTGCGTTTCTTATATTTGCTAGGTTGATTTTTGACATACCGTTCGTGATGTACCTCGCGCACTTTAGCGCGGGTCTGCCTCTGATGCGGACCGTAACTCGCAATATCAAAATTAGCTTAGCTAAAAATTAAGTTAAAAACGCAAAATTAATAAATGTCGATCTCACCAAGCAATCTTCACCGCCGGCGATCGAAAGATCCTATCATCGCTGTGGCGAGTCTTTCTCTCACCTTCCTTTCCCTCTTTGCGCAAAACCACGTCGCAAAATTTTCAATTAAAACAAAATACAGGAAAATACATACAGGATGTCTGACACAACATGTATCAACGTATGTGCAAGCAAAGCTCATTAAACTGAATAAAAAGTATTTTTACTTCGTTCAAGGATATACAGGGTGATCACCAGAATTGTGTTGAAAGTAAACCGTTATATTTTCCTCCTCCGTTTCGACAGTCGATTTTCTAACTAAGTTAGGTTACTTTGATCATCAATTTTATTTGAGCCGTTGTATTAAGGGTATGCAAAAGTTTCCATTGTTTTTAAAGCAATGTTTTTTATTAATATTATTATAAATAACATGAAATCTTTAATCAAAATATTTTCCGACATTATTTATTACTTTTTGCCATCTCTCAGGCAAAAGATGGGTACCATGATAAAAAATCTTTACTTTTAGAATGAATGAAGTTTTCGATTAATTGTTACACTTCCTCAATATTGCGAAATTGTGTGCTAAAAAGACTATGCTGCATAGAACGAAATAAATGAAAAAATCCAATGAAGTAATATCTGGAGAATATGCCGAGCGTGGCAGGATTTCCTATTACAATTCCATTAAAGTTTCCCGGGTCAATACAACATGGTGCCTGGTATTGTCGTGCAGAAGAATCACTTTGTTTTACTTTATCGCAAAATATAGTTCTCAATCCGTTTCTCAATCAATTGCTCATTCAACTGTCTTAATTATCGACTATATAATACTACGATGATAGTCTGAGATGATTTTAACATGATATAGCATTCCTTGCATGTCCCACCAAATATATAGAAGGACCTTATACCATGGGTATTTCGTTTTATTTGTGACGTTGAGGATTGTCCAGGATTTATCCATGATTTTTTGTGATTGGGATTATCATAATAAATTCATTTTTCATCACCGGTCACAATTCGATCCAAAAAAGCCTTGTGTTTGTGTCTATTGCCCACATAGCATTAGATTTCCAAAGTATATCCTAATTTGATCAAAATGATCCTATTATGATCCAAATGAAAAAGTTATCCATAGGAGTACCTGAGGACATGTGCATTAGCCACAAATTACACAAGATATCCGCATAACATCCGTAGGATGTTCTAGTGTATTAGTTGATGTTTACTGAGGAACAGCGATATACTGTTTTTTTTATGGTGCAATATTTATTTGATATTGTGATCCATTCACATACAATAATTAGTTTGTTTTTATTAATTAGATATTTAACATGTATTGTTTATGTCTGAACAGTTGATATCCAGAAAGCACAAAGAATACAAAAAGAAGTTAGTCTATATATTATTTATGTCTTATAATCTTTTATAATAACGTGTGATACTTAAATAAATCACTTAATATCTTAATAATCTAATATTTACTAAATATTTTATATTTTTATGATACGTTTTTTTTATTTTAAGAAATGGACTATATATTGTGTGATGGTTATATGTATTGTAGAACATATGATACATCTTATTCGCAACTTTTATCAACCTTCTTTAGCAATCTTATATGCAACATAAACAAGTATTACACGTTTCTCAAATAATAACAAGTGAACTTTTTTATGCATGCAGATACACACACATATTATTATTATATTACCCAGTACATATTTTGTATATTACATTTCACAACGGTGTGAGCATTTTGTTCTCGGTGCTTTGGAACGCAGCCGATGATTTAGCATAAGAATACGTTTCGGAAAAAGTAGTTTTCTCATTGGACGATAGGCTGTATTTCAAACTGCATCGAAACATATGTTCAAATCGTTATGAAATTTATTTTTCTATGGCCCGATTGTTTTAACCGAAAAGTAAATTAACGAACAGTTAAATTATATGTCTGATTCTGTTTATTTCAAACAAAAAACAAAGACAGGCATGACATATGATTGACAGCAAAGACATATGATTTAATTGTTAGTCAATTTATCTTTCAGTTGGAACAACCGGGCTTATTTCGGTATTGCAAGGATGACTTCTGAATATATAGAATTCACCGCGATATATCTTGTGGATGCCCTTAGCACCACTTTTAATACTTGGAAGATATTTTACGGATATTAGTAGGATCACATATTGTTATGTGTACATATCCTCATGACATCTACGTATCACTTTTTCTCGATGTTTAATGAGCGTCATAGTTTTAATATCATAGTTTAATAGTTGTCATAGTTTAATGAGCGTACACTTCTTGTCTTTCAAATCAAAATCATAATTTTGAAAGCGCCGAAACCACTCACGACATAGAGACGTCTTCAGTACATCCTATGTACATATATTCCGGCCTTTTACGAATGTATTCTGGATATCACTAAATCTTTTGTGATACATCTATTGGATGTACCTAGGATCAAGTTTTGTTATGTGGGTTGAGTAGCGAAGGGCAAATGGTTCGGCTGGCAATAGCATTCTCGGATTATTCATATGGAACCCGTTTCCTTTTCTTTAGAATTTTCCCTATCTTATGCAAGAGTCGGATTACAGTGCTCTGATTAAGATATAACTTTTCCGCAAGTTCTATGCTCGATTGAGTCGAATTTTCTTGCAATAACGCTTTCAAGTTATCGAACTCATCTCTTACGGTCGCCCGGTACACTTCTTATCTTTCAAATCAAAATCATAATTTTTAAAGCGCCGAAATCACTCACGACATAAACTTTCAGCTATCGTTCTTTCACTATAAGTTTCGCAAATGATTCTAGTTACTACGGCAGCTATTTTGCGCTAATGAAGTAACAAAACATACAATGATAAATATACGTTTTATTGATTTCTATCTTCACACGAATTAAAAATGGTTGTGTCAATGAATATGACTTATTATGCATCAGTTTATACAGGTTGATCAATACTAACATAATCTAATAAAAATGTGTCGCAACTTTCATATAAATAATTCACAATGTCATCTATACGTGAACGACGGAAACTTTTGTATACCCCTAATACAAACCAGTTTACGAATAGCAGCTGAACGCCCTATAACCATCAAAGAAAAGATATTTCTTATTGGACGCTTCTATAGTAGAAGTAAAAACAACATATACAAATATATATCGTAAGTTCTGTAGTAAATGTAAAAAAAGTAGTAGACATAAAAAAATCTTCGTAGTAAATTTCAAAATTTAACTTACGATATCTTGGTATTTATGGAATGTAAAGTGTTAGCCTCTTTTACTCTATTTGGTCTTAAGAATCTGATGTTACAATAGTGCACTTACTTTCATTAAATTGATAATTTTGATTTGAAATTTCTAAATGTCATCAAATTAACAAAAGTTAGGACACTATCGTAGTAGCATATTCTTGAGACCAATTGGAGTAAAAATGTCTAGTACTCCACATTTTTTCGATAAATAGTTACTAAAATATCGCAAGCTGAATCTTGAAAAAGTTATCAGGTTTTCTTTAGATATCTCAAAAAATATTAGGCAAATAAAAAAAATGTTTCAGATAAAAGTTGTCCAAACTAATTGGCAGAAAAAGATCATATGATAAAAAGTGGAGGTTTCCATTTAAAAATTTCAAAAGAACTCTTACATAATCTTGACAACAATATAAAAGATCGTATTAATATTGCTATATGATGCGTCATTTGAAATTCTACAACTTTTGTGTGAAATATTTTTCTCTAAAATAATTTATTTTCGAGATATCTAACCGTCCCGGGACTTTCCGTATGCATTTGTATGCATGTTCTAATATTTTGCACTGCGAATATTTGAAAAAACATAAATATGCAGTAAATATGCAAAACAACGGACCACCCTCGCACGGTCTTCATGTTGACATATATTGTAGAACTAACTCTCCTGAGTAACAATCAAAAGGTTTTAGCCGTCACTCATTGTTTATTAAAAAGTTATTAAGAAAGAAAATGTAATGAATATAATGTAATTTTCTGATACTATATACATATAGATATTATAGTTCCCCAGTCGAACGTTAACTGTATGAAAGAATATCGTATACTGACTCATTATTCCTTGCAAGTACGTTTCATAGATCTAATGTCAACAACAGCTTATTTCATTCCGGTAGGATATATAAACAAAACAACTTACACTTATCGAACGGTATGACAATAGGAAACTATAATATCTATATGTATATAGTATCAGAAAATTACATTATATTCATTACATTTTCTTTCTTAATAACTTTTTAATAAACAATGAGTGACGGCTAAAACCTTTTGATTGTTACTCAGGAGAGTTAGTTCTATAATATATGTCAACATCAAGACCGTGCGAGGATGGTCCGTTATTCTGCATATTTATCAAACATATTTCGTGAAAAGATCAAATTCATATTATACGTTAATAATTTTGTGTTTGAAATTTATATAAAATAGGTTTTTTCTTTAAATATGTTTAAAATTATCAAGTGTTCAAAACATGTTTAAAACTTTTATTTTAAACAAAAATTTAAAACAGAACTCGGTAAAATTTACACTTTTCCCACGATTTTCAGCTCTCTCCGCTTACCGCTATTCCTCTTACGTCTACCCCCGCACACGGTCCAAGAGCCACGCGAGTAACGTACAATGCGTGAACTTATTTTCAATAGCTTTCCACGTCACTTATAAAATATTATTGTTGATATGTTTCTTTTTGTCGAACGTTACGGATTTCCGCATGGCTCTTGAATTACGCGCGAGGGAAGATGTAAGAACAATAATGGTAGAAAGAGCGAACTCTGAAATCGGACGAGTATAGATTTTGACGAGCTAAGATTTGAAACATGTTAACCCTGATGAAAGATAAAGAGTGTGAGGGCAACGTGAAAAGAAAGAGAAAGGGAGAGAGGGGGGAGATAGAAAGTAACACACAATTTTTCAAACTATTTCCAAACGGTGAAGTAACATTTCAATGTTTTTCAGATTATTACATTTTTTCAATGAAAGCACTATACGTGTCGATTGTTTAAAAATATCAGTATTGAGAAATAAAAGCTCGATATGTCTCTCAACGCAACAAGTATAATAAACACATCTTTATCGTGTATGATAGACATAGAACCCAAAAATACAAATAAGAAAACGGTATAACAAAAAATAGAATAATAATAGTTAAGAAATAAAACTTGAATACTACGTCTATTCGATGAATTTATTGTCCGACGTTTTTTGGTATACAGTAGGTTTAAATGAATATTTTTAAGGAGATTATTGAGGTATTATCTCAAAAAAATATAACTCTAATTCAATGTATTATTTATTTTATAAAATGCAGAATTCATTTACACAAGTAAATCTGTATGTATTATCTAACAGTTCGTATATCATCTTTTACATTATTGTTACAACAATGTTACGAGACTGATATTATAATTGCATACGGCTTGCACGCGACTATTAGTGTTATAGAATAGCAAATTGATTAGTTTAATTTTTATCTGGAACACATCCAGTAAATTAGAGTAACAAATTTTATATACTTGCTGCGTTTGGAGATCAAAATAGATGCATAACTGTCCAAAAGTATTTTCTGTGATATATACTTTTAGATTTAATATATCAATGATATTCTTTTTCAAAAATTCAATATATGGCAGGAGTTCTACCAGCGCAACAAATTTGCATATTCTTCAAAGGGTTCGGTATACAAATCTAATAAATCACTTAAACTCTTAAAGATAATTAGAAACTTATTGCGATAGAGCACATTATCATCTTCGAGATTTCTATACGCCTTAAAAGAAGTAAATTTATTTTCGGTTGGAGTTAAATTTAATTGTACACCCAGAATTTTACTTAATTCCTGCCTGTTCCGTTCGAATTTAGAATGCGATGCAGTAGTTATAATAAATGGACAAGATATTTTACCCTTTAATTCAAAAACTATTTCCTCTGGTAGATACCACTTACCAATATCTGCTTCAAATGCTATAATTACATTTGGTGGATCAAATGGAGGCATCATCTTTAAACCATCGTCTATAAAGGAGAAACGATAACTTTGAATCTGGAACGTTCCGTTACGTTCATAGCATTTCCCACAAACTTCGACATTTAATTTTGTTACGTTTAGTATTTTTGATCCTATCAATATAACTTTTAGATGTTTTAGTGTGTCAGATAAAAGATGCAGCAAAATTTCCCAGGCTAGTATATATTGTGCATCTAAAACAGTTGCGGCTATTATAAGAACAACATAGTGCGAACTTTTTATATGTAAATTTTTACTTTTCATTCCATAATATAGTGTCAACGGTCCTGATAAGTAATCGGAATAGAATTGGAATCGGACATAATCAATATCAATATCATAATTCGTAAATATTTCAAGGAATCGTTGCATGTTAACAATATATCTACTCTTAGAGGCTAACATGCTGCTAGTAAGATCTGGGATTTTATTTTGTTTGAATCCTATATAAGTTAAAATCATATCTACTTGAAGACATAACTTCAATTTGGCGCAATTGGAACTGTGATGATTTTTCAAGACTTCTGGATGATAGGAACAATAGTGCACGCAATAACACTCCATACAAGTTTGAAGATTACTCTGTTCACGACAAATAGAACACGATTTAGTGAACATGATCATCTGTATTTCATGCGGCATCATATCACGTGGCAATTTATATTTGACTAAACGTAAAAGATTTTTCCTCGAACTGATCCAATTCTCCTGTTTCAAATTATGAGTTTGCCAATACTCCGGATAATTACATGAAATTTTTTTTAAAATTTTACAAATATCATTATGATTCTCATTATCTTCTGATTCATGATTGTTGCTGCAGTAAAAAGTTATGTTGCATGAACTACATGTATTATTTTCTCTCAGTTTCAGTTTTCCCTTGCAGAAATGACAAAAATTTGGATTGAAGAAGTTACGATAAAAGTTATGTGGTAGGGTAAGTAAACGCTGTTTCTTACTCCATGGTGAGAAAAGCAATGGTATGGCAGCCATGCCGATATTGGGCTCCTCTTGTTGATGAGACGACGATATTATTCTGTCGAATATATGTCAAAATTTTGTGATGTAATGGATATTTACGGATATTTAGAAATGCAATATTTGTAATATTAATTTATAAATAAGGTGCGCAACTCGTTACCTCTTAGCGGGAATAACAAAATTTTGCTTTCACAGTTTACGTGTCCACTTAGTGACTGTTCGGAGAACGCTAAGGAGATATCTACATGTTGTTATATTTGTGTGTTATTAGATGTTTATTTATATTTCTTATATGTCTTAGGAATTATCAAACAGAATTGATTTTGAAGATATAACAAACCTATACTTATCCTTTGTTAAATATTATTACATAAATTTCTCTGGAGCTTTGCATTTGTAATCCCTATTAAAACCCTTCATAAATATCGTGATGCGCGATGACGTAAACGTCAGCAATATAAGCATACGTCTTCTGTAGCATATATCAAACTGGCTGCGACTTTCAATCAATATAAACAACACACAAGCTCTTACGCGTGTGTTTAGTGCAAATATACGTATATTTATTTCACATTGAACCGCCGAATTACACGAACGACTTTTTGGCTTATGGAATACACCAAAGACGAGCATATTAACAAAGCGGTTAATTATCATTCGTTGTTACTCATCCATTCGAATCCCTTCATTAGCTATCCAGCAGAACAAACGCACTTGCTAACTGAAAGAAAGATTAAGGAGCAACAATTTCGACGTATTGTCACTTTCTACCTTTCTTTCTTGTCTTCTTAAAATAAAAGAGTGACAATCATGGTTGGAAGAATAATATCTTTCTCGAGTACAATAAATCCAGTTTTCTGTTTCGTTGTATAATTCTATAATGAACATTATATAATTTTACATAGTAGAATATAACATAAAAGATCTTCTCCATCAAGTACGATTGTGGAATAGTTTTAAATTTTAAAATTATTGAAATGGGACAAATATAAGAATTAAAACATTATCTGTTAGTAAGAGATGGACGAGGGGAGGAGAGAGAGAAGAACAAGCGGTTTTTTAAACTATCCCCAAACGATTAAGTAACATTTCAACATCTTTAGGCTACAATATTTTTATATTTCCAAACTATAATATTTTTTTTTCAATGAAAGTGCGATATTGTGCAAGATGCTCATTCTGATAGAACTCACAATTATTTGAAAATATCAACATTGAGAAATGAAAGTTCGATGTCTATACAACAAATATGTCTTGACTATATGTCTAACATAACATGTAACACAAATGTAATAAACATATTTCTAACGTGCGCGATAAACATAGGACTCAAAGATACAAATAAGAAAACTGTATAAGAAAAAATAAAATGACAATGTCTTAGAAAATGAAATACGAGTTCTATGTCTATTCTATTTATGGTCCGATGTTTTTTTGATATGCAGCGGATTGAAAAATGCATATTTTTAAGGAGATTATGAAGGAATTATCTTGAAAAAATATAATTCTAATTCAATGTATTATTTATTTTATAAAATGCAGAATTCATTCGTATGAGTATATTTGTATATATTACCTAACAGTTCGTATATTATCTCTCACATTATTACAATGATGTTACAGGCTGATATTACAATTACGTACAGCTTGCAAGAGGCTGTTAGTGCTGTGGAATGTCAAGTTAATTAATTTAATTTTTACCTGATACGTGTCCAGTAGAGTAGGGTAACAAATTTTCTACATTGACTGCGGTTGGAAATTCAATTGCAAGCCACAATGGTGCAAATCCACAATTGCCGCTAATTCGCAGAGTTCGTTACTAGTTGATGCTATTGGCAACTCACCTTTCATCACATTAAATAATGGCTCCTATAGATGGAGAGCTCTTCTGATCTTTCATCTCGCAGTGCTCTTGATCTTTCTCTGATCTTCCAGTCTTTAATCAACTCTCTTCTTCCTGGGAAGTTTTAGATAACTGCTTTGGAAGCGATCACTATCCTATTCTTATGAAGTTTTCATCAATTCTTCCTGAAAAATTATACACGGACGGATCCATACAAGATCATAGTTCAGAATTTGGAATTTTCTCCCCTCTTCCTGAAATTCGGGAATCCTTTCGTGCCTTTGATTCTTATAACATCTTTCACATTGAAGCCCTGGCTATCCTTAGGGCCCTGGATCTTGTCAATTTCTTAGATTTGAAAGAGGTGGGGATATTCACCGACTCCTAAAACGTGTTGAGTGCCTTAGACATTGCAGGGAAATCTCACAACATTGTTTTTGCCATAAAACACCGAATTAATCTGATTATTAACAAAGGAATTAATGTCCGTTTCTTCTGGATACCTGGGTCACAAATATACAGGGTGCGGGGTTATAAGTTTACAACCCAAATTGTGAAGGTAGATTGGGTTAAGACAAACATAAAAGTCCCATACTGTTTTGCGAGATTCGCAATAATTATCGAGTTATTAATGACAGAAATCTGAGTGGGAGTGTGCCGGCATAGATGATTGGAGAAGCGTTGCAGCTGCTTAGGCCGCAGCATGGCTTAGTCGATCCAGCAACTGTTGTCGGTGCGCGGCGACGGGAAAGACAATGCGCTGCTATTCGTTGTTTTATCTCGCCAGACCTACATCTCGTAGGTCCGGCGTAAACTTATAACTCCCCACCCTGTATACATGGCAATGAAATGGCGAATACTCTTGCAAAAATTGGTGCCACCGGCTCGGGATCCCCTCTGCTAGGAAGTTCTGTGCCTTCTAGCAGGGACTTCATCTCTGCCTTAAATAACTCTACTAGAAATGAAGCCGATCAATTTTTGAAAACGCAATTCACTAGTAAAGGAATTAGATATAGAACTAGGGTCCCGAGTATTTCTTACTCGCCATGGTTCAAAAAATATCCTCCCCTAGATAAGCAAACCCTAACCCTCGCCTGAGATCTCATCATATTTGTGTTAGTCCGCACCTGATGGACAAAAATATCTCTCACAATGTCTCTTGTGAATGTGGATGGCGATACAGAAGCCTGGAGCATGTATTATTCAGATGTCCCCGACACCATGAGGCATCTGACCGACTACTCCTAAAACTCCATTATATGGGAGCTGACATCAACGCAAACTCTAGAAACGGACTCCTTTGATACAAATAATTTCCCAGCCTTTCAGGAGATAGCCAAGTTCGTTGCACGCACTAATCAAATTATATAATTTTTCACACGTTTTCGTCTTGAAACGATGACTGGCGTAGGAACGGAATTGATCTCCGTTTATAAACCATCTATTATTGAACCATGAACTCTAACCATAAAGCCTCAAAAAACCAGCAGGGTATATCGACACCGCCTTCAACTCAGCAGAGTTGTATATGTTGCGGTGGTTCGAATCTATACTATACGCCAAAACCGCACTAGGAAAGTCCAGAAAAGCAGGTCGGTAAAGATGAACGCTACCACCAATCGCACAAATCAGACAACAAAAATTGCCACAATCGGCGTTGGGCCATGCGAAGGCGTGGGGCTCGCTAGCGCGCTCGGTTATATCACCCCGGCGGCCGAATCTTAGCTGCGAGCAGCGGGATCGGTGAGCGCGTTGCGTAGCGGCCACGATTTGCACTAGTCGCTACGCGCGGGGTGTCGGCGGGAGCACCGTGTACTCGCCTGCGAGAAACCGACAGGAGTTAGGCCGTCCACCACGCAGCCCCGACTCGACGACTATAATAATGCATGGTGCGGTAATGCGAATGAATATCGTTCTTTACATTTCCGAATAACGAGGATGTACAAAAATAGATGTCTAATTGGATTGCTTTAAAAGACAGATCGTTCTATCGTCGTGGAATCGTTATGTTGGTAGGGAGATGAGAAAAGTCATAGTTAACGATGGAAAATATTTTGATTGATGTAAATTTAACCACTTCTTTAAAATAAAGATACAAAATAAACTCAGAATTAATTCAACTTCCTAATATATTCGTAAATATCGGTGGACATGCAGCTCTATTAGTACCATATTCGCAATGTATAAGTCTTCAAATAAATAAACAAATCTTAAATTTTCTCTTGTTCTTTCTCACCAAGCATATAACGCGGGAAACGTCGGGGCAAAATCTTCCATGCATCTCCCCTTCACTCCCCCCCTTTCCTTTTTGCCGCTTATAGAACATTCAAGAAAACCTACTTTCTGAAATATCTCTACATCTCCCTCAAACTTCATCTATCACTTCTTTATTTGACCAACTTACATCTCCATATTTGGCCAAACGGCCACGGCTACTATAAATAGGTCTCTAATGCCTATGATGTCATATATAAAATATTTGAGAATATTCCGCGAATAAATAACAATATATTTTGTCAAATTTTCTGAGATATAACATTAATTTTGATTAAAACATTTATATTTGTTCTAAAATTGGTTTCTTACGTAATCACTTTTTCACACGTAATTGGATCCGGGAATCGATTAAGTTTATATAGATCTAAGGCCTAGTTGCACCAACATTATTTTGGTTTTAAGTGAGACTTAAATATATCTCTGTCTTTATTTATTTAGTAAGAAAGATAAAAATAGACTTATGTTTAAGCCTCACTTAAAACCAAAATAATGTTGATGCAACTGGGACTAAATCGGCCATTACGACGATATGATAATTTTGCCGTGGTTTAATTAGAGAGGCTGAATAAATATACACAATTGACTTTGTACTCTCTAGTAATAGATATAGACTGTCCTAGAACAATTCTGTCATCGCTCGTGAGAGCGTAAAACGGATTAAGGTAGATAAAAATGACCAATACCGTTTTGCAATAATTATAAAGATATTAATTTTAGAAATTAGATGAATAAGATAGAGAAGGAGAGAGAAAGGGGAGGGAAAAACAAATGTACCGAGATGGTAGGAGAGGAGCGTTTGAGCCGTTTAAGCTACAACGCAATTTAAACAACGGTTGATCAAGTAACGGTTGTGAAAATGTGCAACGAGGGAAAGTACAATGCGCCGCTACCTATGCCAACCGCACCAAAGCCCACGTCGATAGCCGCTACATTCACAATTACAATTATGAAATTACTTTATGAAATAGCAAAAGTAATTTAAACTAGAACCGTAATGAGATGTACGAAAAAAATCGAAAGACAGAAAATGATAGAAACCGATTGGATACAGAGAATCTCATTATTTTTATCGTGATTATCATTTTTTATCATTTCATTGTATCAAATTCAAAAGAGACGATACTGTTTTCTATTATACTCTATCGTTTCCTGTTACGTAGGAACATATTCACAATCGTTAGGAGTACAATAGAATTCCTGTAGAAACTTATCGTGACTTATCGTTTTATTGAAATTTATTATGAATAAATTACTGAAGATCTGTCGTAATCAGTGATATGTTAAGAATAGGAGAAACTCAGAGTTCTCTTCCGTATAATTACGAAAGGAAACTCATTGTTATCTATCTCATCAATTTCTATCTCATAATGAAATAAGAGTTTTCTCCTTACAACAAAATACTTTTATTTTGGAAAACTGTGAATGGAGCACCATTTCAAGCAAAACATCAAGTTGTAGTTATTGCTTCATGTAATAAAAGGCATTTGTAAGAAAAATGTTTATACGTAACGTTTATATTAGCGGAGGCTCTTTGTATTTCCGAATGTATGCATATTCGAATATTTTTAAAGAAACATTTTAAAGAAACAACAGTTCCAACCCAGATAAAAAAATTAAAAAAAACCAATAGAAAAAGATTATGTCGTTTTCTATTGTTATTGTGAATAACAAAGTATCGAAAGCCTATCGCAAATTCACGATATTTTCTTTATTCTCTCTTCTTTTTTGTAAGTATCTTATTCTTACAACATCCACAATTCTCATTTAACTTCTTAATTAAATTTGTATCGTAATTATGAATCTTTTATTCAATAAAGGAGTACCGTAAATCCACGATTGATTCTTGATCGTCCTCTTTTGCAAGTATACTATTTATAGCATCAAATTCTCTTATTGTTTCTTATCATTTCCCATGAATCGTAAATTAACGGAATCTTCTTGTTCATTATTCATTTTTATGTTCTCTTTTCGCAAGTATTTTAATACAGAACTATGATGCGTGAAATTACGTACTTAGTCATAATTTATTACGATTTTTGTAATAATACGATAAAAAAAACATTCACTCTTGGCGCAATAATTTCACGATTATAGTTTCAGATTATAGTTCTTGCGATGATGCATCTTCTATTGTAATTATACGTATTAATTAATTTTATTAATATCGTTGGTACGTGATTAAGAACGATGAGTTTTCTTTCGTAATTATGCAATAGAGAAGTATAAGTTTCTCTTATCGTTAAAACACCACTAATTATGATATCTCGGCGCGCTTTCTCTCTCTCTCTCTTTCTCTCTCTCTTTCTTCTTTCTCTCTTTTACTCCTTCTCTTTATCATATTTCTGAAATTAATATGTCCATAATTATTATGAATATATTGCAAAATAGTATGGCATATTTTTGCCTACCTTAATTTATTCTACATCTTTACGAGCAGTAGCAGAATTGTTTTGGGACACTCTGTATACTACGTATTAACAAATAACGAGACCGACTGTGTATATTTATTCGACACTAATTAAGCTGAGGTAAAATAATTGTATCGTAACGGTTGATCTGATTGAATTCTATTTAAACTTAATCGATTTCTGCGTCAGATTACATGAAAAAAAAATATTTTCATAAGGAAACTAATTTTAGCACAAATGTAAATACTCTAATCCAAATCAATGTTATATCTGAGAAAAATCCGAAATTTCTTGTTATTTCTTCGCCATTTCAAGGAGATCAGGGAACAAGTTTAAGATATGCCACATCAAACTGTTTACATAGCTGATTCTATCACGTTCGTATGCTCATATATACATTATACATATGTATTAATCTCACTTGTATTAATATTTGTGTTGCGTTTCTAAGTCGTGCACGACGTAGGCAGGATGCACAGAAAGCGAATGCGTAAAAAGAACGCGCCGCTCGAGATCAATTGTGAATGTGCTATTGAACTCGAGTCCGCGCGGCAAGCGTGTTTCGACACGCTGTATAGGAACGCTGCCGCGATCCGCGGATAGGCAGGCCCGAAGGCCCATCCACCAATAGTGATTCCTCTAGTTAGGTGCGCGGATCAGCAGCGTCGCGCTGCGAGCGGATCAGAACACACTTCCCTTTGAGACACGAAGCGAGTCACGCGTATTTTAGAAGCGAGAACTATATTATAGACGAAATTATAAGTACAAGGCGCAATCGCGACCCGTACGATTTGAGGCGGTATCGCAACCTGGAACACCGAGACGTCGTTGCGATCCAAATCGGTACGAGGCGTAGTACGCGATTACTTTATACAAAACGAAAATAAACACATGTACGTAAACACGGAGTGAATACGACAGTATTCATTCGGAACCATACGACAATTTGTATTAATATTTAAATAATTCAATAGTCGTTAAATTTATATTTCAATCGATCACCAATTTAATAATCATCAGTTGTTTGCAAAATGTTGAACGACATTTATTTAATTTGCTGAACTCTACCTGGACATGCGTTGCTACGCGTTATACGCGTTACGTCAGACATTTTATATATATCAAAAGGCAAAAGTTTAAATCAAAAGACAAAAAAGAAAGAAGACAAGCACGAGCCTCGCGTGCGAAGCGGTTCAAAGCGTCAGATTGAGAAAGAAAATCAAGAACAAGAGGTAGGAACTACGTAATCTGTAAAATAACAACTTCAACTGTGTATCAAACATCGATACGTACTCTCGACGGGTGCGGGCGCAGTTTCTGCTGGAGCTGCAGGCGTCACATCCGCCGGCGTGGCAGCCGCAAGTGCGGCACCTTCGGCGGGCGCGGTGAGTCCTTCAGCCGCAGGTTGTGCATCTCCCGCTGCAGCAGCAGCTGGAGCAGCGCCTTCGGCAGCTATAGGTCCTCCTTCCGCTGGCGCGACTGCGGCGACTCCTTCTGCCGGCGGTGCTGGGGTTTCGCCTGCAAATTTGCTCATTATTACAGGGATTATATGATTTCTATCACAAAAGATCGTATGATCGATCGCAACCATCTTTTACAGCATATCTCTTTTTTGAGATTGGCAAACGACTAAAACGAGCGTGATTAACATTGACATTGATCGATCGATATTAACCGTTCAGTCGCGTAGCACGCGAGAATGCTTTTTTGAAATTACCGGCGCATGAAACAAACAGAATACGCCGCAATTATGACGTACTACCTTGATTTATCATTTACGCGCCATGATCGACATGAAATGGCGACGTTAGTTATTAACAAGGGAAAACACTCCAATCGATTTGTTTAAAATTCACTTAAAATTTTATCTTTTTTTACTGCATATATTTTGCAGACCCAATTTTTCTCTGCTGTACATTAGATATATATGTGCAGAAAATTTTTCTGGAATATATTCACATAACATAAACTGAAATAAATAAAACTGAAAATATCTTTCTGAAAATATTCATCTATATATGATATTAATCTGTTTCCACTATAATACAACATTATAATATTGGAAAAATTCAGGCGTGCTCAGGAAATGTTATACCAACGTATTGAAAAAAAATATCTAAATAAAATATTTACTGCTGTAATAATATATAAACGTGAACTTCAGTGTGAATATATTCCAGTTACCCGAAATAGGTATGCTAATTTTTACTATTTCTGCTAAATAATGTTATCAAGAAAAATTCTCTCCATGTACGCTCTTTAAACTAATAAATTAATATAATGTTTTATGTTATCTACTATTAGAACATTTTTGGACGCGATGGTACTCTGAGTGTTTGCAACGGTATCAGGTCGTTTCTAAATGGCACCACCCTACTAACGAGATCAAAGAAGGATCTTTGGTCCTTGTTTCCGATGAAAGATATCCTCCTGCAAAATGGCCATTGACGCGAGTCACCAAGTTGCATCCTGGTCAAGATGGACTGACGAGAGTGGTCACCATTCGCACATTGACCTCGATTTTTAAGCGGTCAATTGTAAAATTAATCATCCTTCCTGCAGGTAATTTCCATGAGCATAGTTCGGCAACTTCGTTCCCGAAGGCGGGCGGAAATGTTGGGGAATGAGTAGCAGCGGCGGGGGTGGCCGCGATCCTGCGCGTTTAAAAAAAGAAAGAGCTGGGGGTCGGGTCGGTTGCGAGGGGCAACTCACGCTTTAACAACTTGTTTTTTTTTATTTTTATTCTTCCTACTTTTCCTCCAGTAAGTTGTCTTTTTCTTCTCTCATTCCGTGTTCAAATAATAATTTCGATATAAGTGATTTCATTGGTGTAAACAAACGGTGAAATTAGCTCGAAGTGTTACGCTCAGCCCGAGTGTGGTCTCTGCGTCGAGTTCGCATGATGCTGGTCGAGCTGAACATTGCGCTCTAAGCACCAGAAAATGCGCCTTGTGCGCCAGGACAATGCGCTTTAAGCGCCGGGCATTGCGCCTTATGCGCCAGGACATTGCGCTTCTTGCGCCGAGCATTGCGCCCTGTGCGCCCTTCTCCAGACGCCTGGATCTTTAACGGCTCCCGCCGCTTTCTGCGTTCCTGACCTGTGGCTATTCGCCGCCGCCTTTTCCCGACGCCCGAACCTGCAGCGGCTCCCGTCGCCTTCTCCGTTGGCGTTTCTGACCTGAGGCTGTTTGCCGCCGCTGTTCCGGACGCCCGAACCTGCAGTGGTTCCTGCCACTTTCTCCATCGGCGTTCCTGATCTGCAGTAGTTCGCCGCTTCCTTTCCAGACGCCCGTGCTTGCAGCGGCTTCCGCCGCCCTCTCCGTTGATGCTCCTTATCTGCGACTGTCCGCTGCCTCCCTTCCCGACGCCCGAATCTGTCGCGGCTCTCACCGCCTCTACGACAACGCTCCCTCCGTTCCTGACGTGAATATACACTTCCTCTCGATTAACGTATTTTACTACATATTTGATAAAAATACTGCCCATATACACATACCGTTTTGCGAAATTCGTAATAATTATCGAGTTATTAATGACAGAAATTTGACGAGTTAGCGCGTGCCGAAATGGATGACTAAAGAAGCGTCACAGCCTCTCGGGCTACAACATGGCCCAATCGACTTAGCAACTGTTGGCGGCATGCGACGAGACATAGGTGCGGCGAGATAAAACATCAATAGCGTTGTCCTTCCCCTCGCTGCGGCAACAGTTTCTGCATCGACTGGGCCGCACTATGGCCTGAGCAGCTGCAACGCTTCTCCAATCATCTATGTCGGCGCGCTCTCACTCCTCAGATTTCTGTCATTAATAACTCGATAATTATTGCGAATCTCGCAAAACGGTATGGGACTTTTATGTTTGTCTTAACCCAATCTACCTTCACACTTCGAGTTGGCAACTTATAACCAACCACCCTGTATATTAAATTTTCGACCAATTGCTAAAGTAATCGTCTTCCTTACTAATTCTACTCGGTAAGACTGTATTCTACGAAAATGAAAGATATTATGTTTGGTTTAGTTTAGCGAAATATCTGTATGGGATATTTCTCAGGCAGCAGCACATCAATATATAAAAATAAGGTTTAACGACTCCAGTAAAGCCGTCGATGTAATGCAACTGGCCAAACTGGCCGCTACTTATAGCTCCGTTGACCAAATGTTTGTTCGAGTATGTGGAAACTTCATGTGTACTTTAACGTAGAACAACGGAACAACAGAATTATGTAATGGGTAGGATCCAAAGCCTAATTAGAGTTCTAGATAATCAGAGAAGCGCAATCGGAGATTCGCTTGCTGATTGACTGACCGCAACTCCAATCAAAACTGGGAATGTTGATCCCGCAGTTGATATTTCCCAATAAGAAAGAGTAATATTTATAATATTATTAATAAAATAAATTTTCCTAAACAATGGACAAAACAAATGTTATATGACAATAATATTACTTTATTGTTTTAACAAAATAATACTGTCACATATCGATTTCGTTGACATTTGTAGGTGACAACTGCATTCATTATTTTTTTATTTATTATATCTGTAAGCATTATATCTTAGTACGTCGGTAACATCTGATGGTACGCGCTCTCTTTAGACGTTTTTTTACGAAAGCGAGAGAGAGAGAGAGAGAGAGAGAGAAGAAGAGATGACAGAAATTTTTTGTTGCGTTGGTTCGCTGCTTTAAAACTAAGAGATTTACGTAGGGTCGGAGATTGTAAGCGAATACTTGTTGATTGTATTTTGTCAAGGATTGTTTGTGCTACCAAATAAACTGTTTGAAAAATATCAGTTTATACATTTTTTATTTAATATTCCGAAATTGCAAAAATCTATTTCACATTGATCACGATGTTGGAATTAAAGTAAAAACATTTCTGAATGACTAGATTGAGTTAGATATACAGAGATTACTTTGTTTACAAGCAATCAGCTGCCTGTTGCGGGTCAAACATGTCGACTATGGGAATCGTGAGGGGAGGAAAGGGTAATGTTTGCGATTCTCTGATTATTTAAAACCCTGAACCTAATGCACATTCTAACAGAGAATAGCGGAATTAAAATATGGCAGATGCCTGAAACTCGGAACTTTCGAAACTACCAAAAATCTTACTAACAAGTAATTAATTGTTTTTTAGTAATTAGCGCGGCCGCAAGCGAGGGAGAAACAGAGCTCCTCCAGATAGATTAAACTAAATTAACTACTCTCTTTAGGTGACACAGATTAGGTCAACTTAAGTGTTCTCAAACATTTTTTATAACTATTTAATTAACAAAAATCACGCTTAATCTCTTACCCTGGAATGACGAGCGTCGCTTGTCGTTTGTTACAAAAAGTGGGAATGGCGTGCAACGCACGTTGCTTGTGGTTTGTTTCCAAATCTGGTTGCATTGCACATTCCACATTGTTTTGAATTTTATCATACTGTATAAAATTATTAATAAAGGACTTTAATATTATAATTGTTCATCTTGTTTATATTTATCTAAATAGTGTGACTATATAATATTTTTTTACACGCGTTTGTTTAAAATTTATAGAAATAATTTATATAGAAATAATTTCAAGTAACAGCTCGCTTCTAATTGTTTTGGACATGTTCGTCGCAAGTATTAGTCAATAAATTTCCAATGCAAAATGTTAAGAAATAGGGGTGTTATAATACTCGATGCAGGATAAGACAGGGTCGCTATATAGAAGTAACTACCTAACTAATACGCTTGGACATTCGCATATGAGAAAGAAGAGAGCATTAACATGTTAGTTTGTGAGAAGCAATTGCAGAAGATATACGCATTGCAAGCAATTTCGAGTGAGTTTGTGAAAACAAGTAAATCTGATATAATTTTATAAATTGTTTAATGCCGTATTTATCTGTTATTCCTATCCTGCCGTATTCATTTGTTTCATTCCTTCTACAAATAGTAGAATTTAATTATACAAATATTGAAAAATAACGGAATTGAATTGATACAAATAACTAATGATTTTACTGCGAAATATAATACGACATATGTCATTTACTAACAAAAGTAAATAAATGACACATAATATATTATATTGTATTTTATATTTTATTTTTTATATTTTATATTTTTATATTTTAAAAATATTTTATATTTATAAAATATTTTTATTTTTATTTGTTTATATTTTATATTTGTATTTTATTTATGTATTGTATTTTATATAATGTAGTATCGTATTAATAATTAGTGTTATTTTAGTTTTTTTAATTAAAAATTTATTAAAAATGGTATAAACATATAAAAACAGAACATTGAGATGAGTAATTGAAGAAAAGTATGAGAGAAACTATTAGTCAGATTTTAAATAAAAAAATAGAATATTGAAATGCATCACTGATTTCCACAATCTACCTTGGAAAGACGAGTGAAGAAAATATAGAAGAAAACGGAGAAATCAGATTAACTACGCTTTTAAGACCAATACAATCGGTATTTGCTTTAGAAGTAGAAGGAGAAGGAGAATTAGTCAATTAGTTGAAAGTTGGAAGCAAGGTTGTTTGGATTAATTTGTATGAAACTAAAGCAACTTATATATACTAGCATATTTATATATATCAAATAGCTACTAAAAACAGAGAAAAAATAGTAATTTTAAAATTACAGTATTCCGCTTTTACAACAAATTACAAAAAATATTCCGCTATAACCAAACAAGACTGGTTAGAAGAATTTCTGAAAAATAATACAAAAATCTCTTTTGTATCTCTGATTTTTATAAATTAGTAGTTAAGAATGTTTTCAAGCTGCTTGAAGAAGTTTATAACAAATATCATTTAACTCTCAACCGAATCTTCAATTGTGATGAAACAGGGGATTCACCAGTTAAAAAAAAATAAAGGAAAAATTATAACTCGAAAGGAAAGGAAACAAGTAGATTTGCTTTCGTCAGCAGAACGAGGGAAGACTGTTACGGATGAAATATGCTTGAATGCAGCTAGGCTATATATGCCTTCTCTCCTCGCTTTTCTCAGAAAAAGAATAGAGGTCGAATTATTAAATGGCATACCTCCAGGATCATGGGGACATTGCAATGATTCTGATTGGATGACAAGTGAAATATTTTTCAATGGTTAAGAAAGATCATTGAGTTTTCTTGTGCATCAAAAAATAACCCAATGTTGCTTCTAGTTGCTCCTTCACTCTATATATATTAAAAGCATAAATATTATTTGTGATGTAAAAGCATTAGATGATTTGTGATGTCTGATTTAGCTAGAAAATATGATTATAATTGTTTACACAGAATATAACTTCTCGATTGTAGTTTTAATGAAACTATTAAATATTTTATTATAATCAGACTGTAACAGCTTAGTTACAATCAAATCGAGGAAAAGTTACTACTATGCTTCAGATTGGAGAAGTAGTTGGAAAAATATTTTTGCAAGCTACAATGATGTTAAAAATAATAAGTTCGTTTAAGAACATGTCGAATTTAACTCTATAATTCTACAATTTTCACCGATATTAATTTTGTTATTATTGAGGCTGTTTTCTAACATCAAAAGTTTTTTAAAAGTTAATTTATCCAACAACAAGCTATAATAATGTTCTGTGTACGCCTGTATAACTGCAGCAGAAACTATATCTACAACAACGAAAACTACCAATATCTCAGTTTTATCCTAGGATAAACTAGTACAATAAATCTCGGAAATATTCAACGTCTATAATTAAGTTATATTTAATTAAAGTTATATTTAATTAACGTTAATAATTAAATAAAGACAGAGAACCTATAATTAAAGAGATAGCACAAACGTCAAAAAGTAAAAAGACTGAGTGGCTTGCCAAATTTGCCAATATTGGACATACGATTCTTGTATAAGACTTGATATGAAGGAACATAAAGTAATAAAATTTATTTGTAATTTATATATCATAATGGCAGATATGATCTACAATTATTTCATCTCATCCCCAACGTTGTTCAAATGTAGTTAAAAAACTTTTTCTGAAAGTATATTATTTTTGCAATTTTTCTTCTTTTAGTCTCAATTATATTATATCTCCTCAAAATTAAATAACTATTGATTATAAAGACATTTTAATAAATATTTTAATTAAGATTAAAACATCTAAAGAAGCTATCAAAGCTCTGCAATTGGCTATTCAAAGTATCGACTCTGATATATCCTTTATAGAAAAGCATTTCTGTAATAAATTAGTCAATGATAAATTATTATTATTCGTACGAGTAATTTTATTACTTACAAATAATATTAAAATTACGGAACAATATTTTACCACTAGCCAATTTATTATAGCCAATAATACTTTTTTATAAAGGATACATCAGAATCAATGCTTACATCGGGTGTCTCCTTTTAAATGCAAATATCTTGACAAATATCTCGAAAAATATGGAAGATGTGGAAAAATGTTTCAGACAAAAGTTATATGATTTCAAGAGTTAGAACAACTATATCAGTTTATTTACAGATGATGCCACTTTCGAGATATTCACTGATCATTACCTTTCTTAAATAGAAACCAATTTTAATATATATCATCTTTTTCTACCAATTAATTTTAACAACTTTTGTTTGAAATTTTTCTATTTGTCTAATACTTTTTTAAGATATTTAAGGAAAACTTGATAACTTTTTCAATATTTAACTTACGATATTTTGCTAACTGTTTATCAGAAAAAAAGTGATACTAAACTTTTTTACTCTACTTGGTTTCAAGAAATATATTATTACAATAGCGCCAAATGATATAATTGTTATATGTCCCTTTTGAAACTATACAACTTATGTCTGAAACATTTTTCCTTAAAATGTCACGTTTACAAAAAAATCGGGTCGTACGGGTAGTCTGTGATACTGTATAATCAATTGAACAAAATTGTCCCTTCAAACCAATTTTAGGTTCCATAGTCAAAGTTTAATAAAACGTCAATTATTCACATACGCTTAATTCTTCTATTTTGCGACGGCCTCTCGACTGTGCATAGATAATATTAATAGCTTATTATATTGCTGTCCCGTCTTTTGTGTACATTTATTACATTCATGATTACATTGTACTTCTCATAATAAATGTACGCAATAAAATTGTTATTAGTATTATTTTCCACTTGTTCTTCTCAAAATCGACAGGATTTGCAGAAATAATATAGAAGCAGAATTTCAAATGGAGAGCATCCAACGAGAGAATTTTTTTTTTTAAATCACCCGAAATTGTTCATCAACGAAAATATAAAGAAAGCGAACATAAGGGCTAAGAAAGAGTAAAAGATCAACCTTCAGCTGGAGGTACGACAGGTGCAGCTCCTTCCGCAGGTGTACCTTCGGCTGGAGCGGTGGCGGATGCAGCGCTTTCAACGGGTGGCGCTCCATCAGCGGATACAGGGGGAGGTACACCTTCCGCTGAGGGTGCAGTTCCTTCCGCGGGTGCTGCTCCTTCTGTCGCTGGTGCGGCGCTTTCCGTAGATGGTGCGGAACCTTCTGCCGGGGCCGTTACAGGCGCGCCTTCTGCAAATGCAATGAACAATCGTTAATATTTGCATTAATTATATAATACTAATAACAACGATGATGATGATGATGATGATGATGATGATAATGAATAATTTGTGCACCAGATGTATATGATATATTTGTTAGAAAATGAAATATTAAGAAAATACAAGAGACATCCAAGATTTAAAATTTATTGTAAAAATTTGAATCTCGCAAGTATTAAACTTGTTAACTTTTGTTAATGCTCTTTGTGCTACAAGACCTATTATAGAGTTAGCTACGATTTCCAGCTTACTATAACTTTAAACATATGTAAATATACATCTATGTGTGTAATACGTAATATTTAAAACTGTGTATGTAATACATAATATATAATATATAAATATTTAGAAATAATAAATAATCTTTAAAAATTAAAATAACATAAAATGCTATATAAATAAAAAAATTAATTTTTTACTTTTAATATTATTTAATATTAGTTTAGTATACATACTTTGACTGTAATTAAAGGCAATGCACTAAATTATAGGTAAAATATGTAAGATAATAAAATATTAATTAATTTAAAGTATTCTTTTAAAATGATAATGAGTTTGTGTGAATAAATGGGTGAGTTAGTTAATATTTAATTAACTGAAAGCTCCTACACGATATTTGATTGTATTATTTGTTAGTTAAATTGTTTATAATATAAATATACAATTTAATATAATATTAAAACTGATTGATTGATATTTTAATAATAAAAAAGCAAATTAAAATGTAAATTGAACAAATATAAATTAAAAATAAAAATCAGATAAAAGTAAAAGAAAACACCAGAAGCTAAATAGCAATAGACTTTATTACAAAACTTTGTTACAAAATAATTCTAAATGATAAAAAATGTCTTAAAAGTTTGTGCCCAAGAATAACTCCCAATCTGCATACGAACTTGCTTCACTATCGAAACAAATTTACTATGATGTAATATGTTATTTCGATTATTATAGAAAAAAATACGATTTATATAGTCATACACGTAAATTGTTCCATTATTTTTGTAATCAATCACAATTAGTTGTACGAAAAGTTCCAAATCTACGGAAATTTCGGAAAGTTTGTAAACCTACTGCAATATTACAGTAGGTTCGCCACAATTTAGCTTTTCAATTATTACAAATAAAAAATATATGATCCACAGGATTGTTTCAAGCATAAAAACTTCAAAGAATATTCCCTATCATCTTTAAACAATTATTCACGATAATTGCTTATCTAAAAAGTTTTAATACTGTAAATAAAAAAAATTTGTGGACCTAGTCTAGTTTCTACTTTGTACAAGTATGCTGGAACTTGTAAACATGGTGAAAACATACATTTATACACTCACTAGCAAAAAAAGCGGGCCACTAAATTTTAGCACAGTTTTCTAACATCTTTTAACAGCGATAACTTAGCTAAAAATCATATTGAGATGAAACAAAACTCAAATTACAGCTTGGACATTTCTTGTCAACCAAAAATCTAAAAGTGAATTATAATGAATGTTTTATAAAATGGCGGATGTTGAAGATAGATTTCGATTAATGGGAAAAAAAATTTGTTTTTAACTGTTGCACTGCTTAGGGGAATCGGTCCTCTGATACAAAAATATATGAGGTTTAAAGCTTATTCATTTCCTAACAAATAACATATTTTAATCATTTTTCTACGACTTTTTTTGATAAAGTTATGCCGTTTTGAAAAAAAATGTTAAAAAATGGACAACCTTTTCTTGTAAAATCTGCGGTTCAAAATAAAAATTATCGTGGAGAACTTTTTCAAAAAGGAAATTAATATGTAACTCGATCAAGTTCTATGTGGTGGTAGATGATTGAATTTAAATCTCATGTGAGTGCGTGCGTGTATATATGCATGCCTGCTTTTAACGTTACCCAGGATCAACGGCGTGGACATGGCAGAAATCTGATCCTGTATGTATGTGTGTGTGTGTATGTATGTGTGTGTGTATATGTATGCGTATATGTGTGTTTAAGTTTAATAGCGTGTATTACCTCCTCTCGTATTTAACAATTTTTATGTTCGTTGGAGGATACTATAAATTAAATTTTTCATTTCCGCTTGTTTTACAATGTTCCATTTTTCTTGCAAAGCGTTGCGAGGTGCTGCTAACGTTTAAGTATAAAGTTTAAGTTTAAGTTTTCTTACTCTTCGTTTCAGTATGCTACCCATAAATGCTCAATGAGATTTATATCCGGACTTACAACATTTTCTTCAAAACGGCATAATTTTATCAAAAATGGTCGTAAAATATGATTAAAATATGGATTCGTTAAGAAATAAATGAGCTTTAAACCTCATACATTTTTGTACCAGAGAACCGATCTCTCTGAACAGTGCAACAGTTAAAAACAAATTTTTCCCTCATTAATTGAAGTCTATCTTTAACATCCGTTATTTTGAAAAACATTTATTATAATTCACTTTAGGTTTTTGGTTGTTGACAAAAAATGTCCAAGCTTTAATTTGAACTTTGTTTTATCTCAATACGGTGATTTTTGGCTGAGTTATCGCTATTGAAAGATGTTAGAAAACTGTGTTAAAATTTAATGGCCCGTTTTTTTTTTGCGGGTGAGTATATTTAGCCTATAGAGCTTGTAAATAAAGCATTAATATTTAAGAGGAATAAAGTAATTTAGAAAGAATGAAACGAAAACAAAATCAATGATAGTTGGAATAACACAACGCGATTTTCGGTGTAAAGATTTACCGGCGGGCGCTGGAGCGGCTCCTTCAGTCGGCACTACACCTTCTGCAGGGGGAGCAGCCGCTGGAGCACCTTCGGCTGTAGATGCTGGTGAGGGTGCCGGTGCTGGAGGCACAGGAGCCGGTGCAGGCTCCGTTGGTGGTGGCGCGGGAACCGGTGCAGGGGTCGGCGCTGGTTCTGGCGTTGGTGTCGGTTCTGGTGGTGGTGGTTCCGCCGCAGGTGCCTCAACCTGTTCGCCCTCCTGTGAACGTGAAACAAGCGTTTCCACGAGTTGCATTTATTGGTCGACCACATGCACAACGTGTATCGTTCATTAGGCTGGCACGAAAATTTTGTCGTTTATGGCTATCAAATTCCGACTCGAAGGAAGTTATCGATTTGAGCATTAAAAAGGAAATGTAGGAATTTGAATTAAAATTTGAAATATGTTCTGAGTCTCGCAAGTGCTAACTTGTTCCTTTTTAAACTTTTGTTGTAGCTTTGCGTTGTATCAAATCTGAAATTTAATTCTCTATCGAAACTTCTGCAGACTTATATTTCTATCTTCGCTCCATTATATCACTTTTCTTTTCGTCCATTTTAAATTTTCAAATTTTATCGAAATTCTCAACGTTAATCAAAAATAATAGTAAACAAATTATATAAACGAATGCTATACCATTTTATTATATTTTTCATTTTTGATTCGTTATTTAATATTTGTTTTTTTACACATATCTATTTGCAGTTAAATAATATAATTATTTATTTTTTATTGAAAATATTGAGATAATTAACTAAATAATTATTAAATAAATTGTTCTTTAATATGTGGAACATGTGGAACATTAAACATTATATTTGTAACATCAAGGTACGACAATAATATGTACCATATTATATTTCGAGATCTTTTAGTTATGAGTCCCTCAAATTTTACAAAATTTGTAAGAATCAAGTTTCAAAATTTTAATTCAGGAAGATGACCTTGTTAGATGATGATAGAAAAATATCGAGTCGCAACATTATTTTTAGTTGTTATTAATATTTAAAAATTGAATAATTTTGTTTTGGATTCTTTTCGACAGCCAAATGAATACTGGATATTTAAAAAGGATATCACAGTCTGGTCAACTCATGGTCTGCCATGATATTATTTGCAATTCACCACATATGTGACATTTATACTATTAGCTATATCAGTGTGAATTGGACTATTATATCTATATTTAATAGTATATAAATCATTTAGCGAGCCATGAGTGAGCCAAATCTGTAGCAAAGAATGGGAGGAAGAGAGTGAACAGAGATGAAACCGAGCAGAACGTTACGAACTCTGATCAATGGTAGTTTCATTAACGTTTTCTTGCATTGATTTCCGCTACGCGAACGTACAAAAGTTTTATTAATGATTAAATTATCAAAGGTAATATAAATAAATGTATTATAATTTGAGTAGCACATATCTGGTAATATATAAGTTAATGGATGCAACGTCATAGCGTCTATGACCTATAATAGCTAAATAGATTATGAAAACATTGTCACTCAAAATGATAAGAGTGAAGGAGTTTCACTTAAGCTTATATCGAATTTTGATTCTATGATGAATATTTTAACGTTTAGAATGACTTTTTATTTTCATGAGTTCAATGTAGCAAATCACTTTTCAATGCCAGATAAAAATATTCACTTGACGATTCAAAATAAAAAATTCACTTTCAAAATGTGTAAAATTTACAAAAAAAAAAATTATCCTAATTTGAGTAATTCAACTATTACTTTACATTTCTACCTCACTTCAAGAAATTTAGAGAGAAGAATATATGTGTGCATGTGTGAGATATGCACCAATGAATCATAAGAAGATTTTTGAGACTGCGTAAGAGAAGTAATAAAAATCACTGCGACTCATCACTTTTTGGGTAAAAGTAACAAGAACGAATTACTTTTCCAAAGAATAACGAATAATGGGAGCAAGAAAGAGTTACTTTTAAAAAGTAACTTCTCAATCCTGATATTTGATCGAAACAATTTAAAATTTCCTGATTGGTTTTATTAAGAAAAAGTTTTGGAGTAATGATAGTTTCAAAAAAAGAATTTATCCCAGATAAACAGACGTACATAAATTTGATAACAATTTTATTCGCCGATGTATAAAAATCATATCACTTATTAATGCTTCATATCGCATTCACGTTTATCTCACAGGATGAAGAAGTAGAAATATGAAAAAAAACTGTATATGAAAATTTCTTTAAAATAGGCGCAAATGTGTGCATGTAAAATGTAAAATGAATATCTCAGTGTAACTTTTAGCGAAATTATCACCGTGCCTTTATAATAAAAAATTAACGTAATTATGCATGATATAAATTTAATAGAGATGTGCGAACTATTCCAATTCCAATTCGAATTCGAATCGAATCTAATGTAATTCGATTCGATTCAAATCCGAATCCCTATGATTCAAATCCGAATAATTCGAATAGGATCAATACGTTATCGTCTGCGCGCATCAACAAAACTGGCCATCTGGGCCTGTATGTTTGAACTCTTAACTTGTAATTAACTTAACTTATAATTAACTTAACTTATAATTGATAACTTAATTATAAATTACTTTACTTATTTAAATATATATTTTACTTTAAGATGATATTACAATATCAATATTCTCTTTCATATTAAAATCTTCCATCATTATTTGCATGTTTAATAGTCATGTTGAATTTTTTAATGGCTCGATCCGATTTTATTCCATTTTATTCGAATTCGAGTGAAATTTCATAGATTCGATTCGATTCGAATTCGAATTTAAAAAATGAGATTCGATTCGATTTAATTCGAGATAAAAATTCTTGATTCGCACATCTCTAAAATTTAATGATTTATTCAATACAGAGTATATTTCCTTTAGACATATAATTTAAAAAATTGTAAAACTTTCATCATCGATTGTCTCAAGTTATGAAAATCATGAAAGCCTATATGTGAGCGAAAATGACACGAAGAGTGTTTCGCTAGAAATACAAACAGCATACTCCCAAGCGACCACTCGACTGACCGAAAACCGGAACGAAACGGCTCGCCGTGGCGGTCATCTCGCGGGAAGCACTCACGGGCGAAACAGAATTGCGTGTGCAGCTGCGCGAGCCGTTACCAACATGCGTATTAAATTGTGTGATTAACGGTCAGTGTGCACGTTTCGCAAATGTAGTCGTATTAAACCGCCGTTTATAGATACATCATTTGTCCCACCGTTCCCGATAATAATGCTTTATATAATACTCGGCCCACGCTCCAGTTTACGACACCGACCGCGCGTGCGCTCTTCGCCCCATCCCCCTCGCCCGCCCCTTCAGCCTGTTTCCCTCGACGGCGTTTTGTGCCATAAATCATCGCAGCCATTACGATCATGAATATTGTCAAGATAATTAAACAATGTGCACGACACCCGGCTGCTATTATAAATACGCTCGAATGGGCTGAAACGCGTGTCGGAATATGATTCTAGTGAAGGGTGGGAGGGGGACGTGTTTCACACCAGCATTGCGGAAAACGGTTTCGATAAATCGTGAAATAAACAGGCAGATTGAAAATCGACGCCTGTAGAGCTCTTGCATGCACGAACCATCCGATGAAAAGGAAAGCCCGGACGTTTGTCCGAAGTCAATATAATGCAGCTTTGTTTAATGCCGTTTAATTGGATACATCAATGTCTATTATCGACGCGCAAATTAGTGCAATAATTAATAACAAACAAATAAGAAACTAGCGATAAGAAAGACGCTGATGAGTTGTACACAAGTGTTAAACTCCAGCAAAGGAAATTAACTAATCCGAATCACGAAAAAGTTTAAGGTAAAAGAAAAGGTAAAAATCGACAAAAACGAGTCCAGTACTGATGACTTTGACAAATGATCGATGATCTTGACAAATATTATCAAATCTACTGTCCTGAGTAACTTACAAAAGGTCTCAGTCGTCACAGGCGACAAAACCAAATTTGTTAAAAAAGTTTATTCAAAACTTCAAATTTATTAAAAAAATATAAACCCATACAGCACAGAAGTTGCAGCAATATTGCTGCAACGTTGCTACAACATTGCAATAATGTTTCAACGTTACAGCAACGTTTTTCCAACTTTATGTGCTATATGGAAAATAAAAAAAATTAAGATAATTATTTAGTTTAGGAGAGCCAGCTCTCTCCACAATGACCTCAATTTTAACTTTGATATATTGAGGTTATCTTATTGAATATACATATACGCGAGGGAGGGGAGGACTCCCTCACCTAACTAATCTCACTAAACCAACTTAATCCAATCTATATTTCTATAAATGATAAAAGCTAGGTTAGATTGGTTTAATTTGGGAAAGGGACGAAGCTCCTTCCTCGCACTTATATGTGCTATTTTACATATATTCGTTTTGTATAAATCTTTTACATTATCTATTTTTTACAGCGTTGAGGACCTATATCGTATTTATGAAACTGTTCTTGTTTATGAAACTTTAATAAACAATTAACAACAGTTAAAATCTTTTAAAAGTTATTTAATAAGGTAATTTTGACAACATATATTGAAGTATCATTGGAGCTGGTTCTCCTAATTTGAATAATTGATAAACACACTTTTTTTATTAATATCTTTTTAATAAATAGTAAGCGACGACTAAAATTTTTTGTAAGTCACTAAGAAGAAATGGCAATATATATAAAAATCAAAGACATCAAGATTAGATTTTTTCTTGTCGATTTTTATTGATTTTTACCGGAGGAAAGAAATGACATTGGACTTGGCTTTTGAGTTGAAACTGCGTTCTTTCGGAGTTGTTTACAATGTTTCTTGAATATTTTGGTTCAGGTTGTTAGAGAAAAGGACAAAGAGATAAGGTGCCTCTCAATATTAAAAAATATTGTAACTTCTTGCATAAATTTGTTTAAATTTCATGTTTTCTAGGTTCTCTAGTAGTGCAGAGGAATAGACTGTCAATAAAATTTATCTTATTAAAGAATATAATAAATTTTTCTAAGGAAGATTGTAAGGAAATTTTTTTTTAACATATGGAAAAATAAATTTATTAGTGTGTCTGACGTTTTTATTATTTAGAAAGCAAATGGACTAATTAAATAATTCGGTAGCAGGAAGAAAAAGATTTTTATAGAAAATTTCTAATTGGCTAATTATTTTCAGTTATTAATCGAGATTTAATACAATTAAGTATTTAGAAGTTTTTATTTTCGGTCGTAGTAATATTACTTTCCATCATCAAATTCTCATATATAGTCAGTATTCAATTGCATTCAAATCTTTTTTCTATAATAATTATAGTTCTTAGAATATATTAGGAGGTTGCATTGATAGCCGCTATTCACGTGTAGGTTTAAGTTCTAGCTGCATATACTGTGAATAGTGACAGATGTCTCTTATGTCATTTTGAAGTATGAACATTTCTCACTAAAATTCAGTCATCATCCTTTGTTTACACAAGTGTTTTTCTATAACCTAATTAAAATAGAACACGATAAATTGTTTTCCTAATGTGTACTTCTACATTATTTTGATTTTGCGTGTTCTTCGCAAAATTATCTCTGACAAGGCGGAGAGGGCGTTGGTGGTTCCTTGGTGGCCGACGCAAACCTGGTTTCTTTTATTTAACCAGCTTCTCGTCAGTCAACCTCTTCATTTTAGTATTACCTAATATTATCATGTTATCCTCTCCTTTCAGCGAGTTTCAGCGAGTTTCTAGGTCGGTGGGTTAAGTCCGTACTGGAAGCGTCAGGTATAGACGTTTCAATTTTTCGGCGCATTCTACTCGCCATGCCTCTACTTCGTTTGCCGTCAGCAGAGGCATTAATATAGACGAGATTCGTCGTACGGCCGATTGGAGTAAATCCTTCGATGTTTTTGCTCGTTTTTATAATAGACCGAGTGTTTCGGATTCTCTTTTCTAATCCACCATTCTTACTACGTAAAGTTTCAATTGCATAACTCTCACTTTTTTCTACATAATTCGTCTGTTAACGGTCCCAGCACAGTCTTCTTGTCTATCTTTACTGTGCTCTTCTGCCAAATCTACGGGTTAAACATCTACATATATCCATCCGGACGAGAACTTGCATAATTAGGAAATTGAACGAAGTTACGGTGAAGTTCGATTTTAATTATGCTTTCTCGTTCGGATGGACACTTCCACCCTTCCGTTCCCTTCATCAGATTTGGCAATGTTTGAATAATGACGGTGCTGACGCGAGCAGCGGCGTTGTTGACGGAGTCGTCAAGGCAACGAGATGTGCGCGTGTTGGTCGACAAGACGCGTTTATTCTTTGTTTTAAATATTCTGTTGGGGAAGCGCGACGGAGCGTGACTACATATATCCATTCGGACGAAAAAGCATAATTAAAATCGAACTTCACCGTAAGTTCGTTCAATTTTCTAATTATCAACGTCGACATCAAAGCGAAACATCCACGGTCACAAAGCAATGCTTTCTATTTCGTAAGATATGGAGGGTGTTGTATATTATGAGCTGTTGAACCCGAACGAAACAGTCACCGCCAAACATTATCGAAAACAATTGGAGCGTTTGAATGATAATTTGATGCAAAAGCGACCATCAATTGCATCAAATCGTCGAAAGGTGATTCTTCTCCATGACAACGCTCGACCTCATGTTGCTATAGCTATGAAACAAACACTGATGTAGCTCGAATGAGAGGTTCTTCCGCACCCAGCAAATTCTCCGGACTTCGCCCGAAGCGATTACCATCTGTTCCAATTGATGTAACACGCTTTGGAAGATATACATTTCCATAATTACGGAGAAGTCGAAAATTAGGTTGCTGAATGGATTGGTTCAAAGGACATACCGTTCTTTCGCCGCGGAATTCAACTTCTGTCAGAAAAGTGGGGAAAAGTCATAGCTTCCGAGGGCAAATACTTTAATTGATGTATTCACATATTTTGTTATTGAAATAAATACTAAAATACACAAAAACAACGGCTTTTAATGCAACCTCCTAACAATTAGCTACTCGAAACATGAACAACAAATTACGAATGTCAACATATTTCTCGATTATAAAACTCTATAGAAATATTTATTATAAATTTTTTTCTCTGTATAAATATCTTTTCATAAATGAGTAATGATTGACTAATCAAAAGAGAGGAAAAGAGACAGTAGGAAGTAGGGAAGAGAGGAGTAGACATAGTAAGGGAAAAAATCAATTTAGCATTACATTTTTGAGAAAACGACTCGAAATCTAGCATTTCGTCGTCGTGAAAGTCTCAAATATCGAGAGAAACGATAATTCGACGTCGCATATCCGATGTGGATAACTGAACGGAAGAAAATACTCATAGAAAAGCCGTTGAACTTTGTCTCCCGAAAATTAGATCACTTTAATCAGATCAAAATACGTTGACGTTGGATTTGAAACAATACCATTCCATCAGAATCTCGTCTTGATGATATATACGATTTCATCTCGTCGATATCTTATCTTGGAAAAAAGTCGTTCGATAAAGTACTCCTCGAATGGATGGAAAAAATGGAGCAGGTTCGCAATATTAATAAGATATGTAGATTGTAAGTTGTAGGAACACATAAAAGAGCGTGTGTATATCATAGCGAACGTGATAAAGCTGTGTCGAAAGCGTCACTCAATAGCGAATGGTTATAAGCGAAACCTGGTTAGTAACATACCTACCGTACTTTTGAATATTGGCTTATCTGCAAATCAAAGAGCTGTCGGTGTTATTCTTATCGACCAATTGTTCGATATCCGCGAAAAGTATCTCCATGAATTTTTTATTAACTTGCTACTATTACATCCTCGTACGTTCTACCCGAAAAGCATCGAAACGCGAAAAGATAAAAATGTACCGAATGCTGAACGTTTCTTTGTTGATTATTACCTTATCGTAGCACACGATTAGATCTTAATTTTCGTTAAAAACAATAAATCTACTCGAACGATTAAGAGATGATTGAAATGAGCTGTATTTCTCACAATTGTATCGCTAAGAATCAGTTAGTCGGTCGATTATTCTACTACATCGTTCACTTGCTCGGAAAAAATGCATAGACGACGGTAGATAATTATTATCGCACATACAAAACATATCGTACACCATTTGGTTACACTTGTATCGTAGGTTAAAACGCAAATCGTCACAGGTGAGGCACAAGGGAAACGTGAAAAAGAAAAGAGAGAGAGAGGGGGGAAGAGAATATAGAAAAATAATTACACACAGAGGGTTGTTTTACAATAAATCTTAAATAAAATTTCCTCTTCACCGTTGTTACCGTTACATCACATCTCTCCCATCGTGGTTGAATTTCGCAGGAAAGGACAGATCTGGGTCTTGCGGATCTCGCACGCAATTCACGGCTTTACAGTGTGACTTTTACAAGTGACTATTATAAAAATAAAAGAAGACGAAAAGAAGACATATCATGTTCATAAAAAAAAGGAAAGAAACACCGGTACAAGTAGAGCGAGCCACAGATTGGATATTGGATATCAAAATATTTCGATACAATCCGGGGACGTATACGAGCAATCGTGATGGATGAGCAGACAGACAGACAGACTAGACAGACGAGCAAGATTTTTTGTGTGCAACTCTCACACGACGGCGGGATATCGAATTAATGAACTCATTCGATTGTTATAAAAAAAGGAAGAAGAAAATTCAAGAGATAGGTAGAAGAGAGAAAAAGAGGGAGAGAGAGAGAGAGGGAGAGACAGAGAAGAAAAAGAACGAGGGGAGAGAGAGAGAAAAAGAGAGAACAAGAGGAAGGTATTCCGTGCAGAGTTGTGTCGACGACGATTATTGACGGCGGATGACATTCTCGGGACGTCGGACGTCGGACGTTTATCGTTGTTGGGATGACGATGACGATTACTCGGGAACGTCTCGGGAACGATTTTTCATTCTTTCTTTCATGCTTCAACCGGGGTCGGTGGCGCCGCCTCTTCCTCCTTTACCTTCTTCTCCTCGCCCTTCTTTGACCAGTCGGGTTTCTTCTGTAAAATCGAGAAAATGTTGCGTGAAGTACAACCGAGTAAACTCGTTACACGGATTCGAATTAGACTCGCACACTAGTTAGCGCGCATTGATTGATAGGGGGTCGGGGTGGAAGGGGTAAACGTTTACAAAGCCGGGGTACTGCATTGTCGAGCTGTATTGAGGGGCAGAGGCTGAAAACTTCGAAATGAAAAGGTCGCTGTATAGTCTCTAGGGGACGGGAGCTGTGCATATATGCCAAAAATTTAGCACTATAATCTAGACAAAAATTGCCTCGCGATTTGTCGGTTGTCGCAAGGGACACCTTGGACGGTGTCGCGGCGAGTCGCTGCGATACCGTCCAAATCCAAATCCTGCGCGCTTCTGACTCAGCCGGATCGTAAGATTCTCCCCATCGGATTTCTCTCGTTACCGAAAAATTCTCGGCGAAAACGTCGCCAGGCGAGTCACTGCCACTGCTTTCGGTTCCCCGAGTATCTACGAAACCGTGCAAGATTGTTAATGACATGTAAAGTGCCGACAGATTCACGACATTACCGCAAAAAGAAATGAAGGTAGAGAGAAGTCGTAATGGGAATAAACAACGATGCGGCGAGCGTTCGCTGAAAAATATCCTTCGGGAGAACTGTGCGGCCAAAAATTGCGAGGAAATGAACGAGCGCATCTAAGCGCGCGAAACGCGCGAAGCGGAGCAAACACTGAAGAAAAGTTCGTATCGAATCAAAGCGGCGCGCACTGCTAACGTTAAAAATGTAGGAAGCTTCTCTTTCATTCGTAATGCTATCCATTCTTCCATTTTCGCACACACGCACACGCGCACGCACGCACGCACGCACACATACACGCACACGCAATATCTATTTTCCGTTTTATCTACTTTGATCTATCGCACACGTATACACAAACACACGCCATTCTCCCCTACGCAGGCATGCTGTGTACACAAGTTGGCTGTTAAAGTTTTACCTTATTTTTTGGCACGTTCTGCGAACATAATGCAAGTGCAACATTATTAGTTGACTTATAAGACATATAGGCATACTGATTAAGCGTACATTTAAATATTGCTTAACGAATAACGCGTCGTTCATGACGCGCAGCCACGTCCGACATAACGGTCGTCACGTGCATTAATGTGCCCTAAGAGATATTCCTCGGTAGATACCTTCTGCGTCATGCGTGCCTTTTACTTTCATAATTATTAAGATTACTTGGGTCAGAAGGAAATTTTCGATCTTATGTTTAAACGATTAAAGTTGACAAATATCCAAGTAAGCACCGAATAGTTATAATCGCCAAAGATATATAACCCCGAATATATATTTTGTGTTATTTTGCGTATATTGAGTTTCAAAATTTGAATACTTTTTAGATGCAGTTCGAGAACTTTCTGAGAATTTTTTTAGATACGAATTCTTTCTTAACGGATTATCGGTTGCACTTTGTACTGTATCTAAAAAGAATATTCAAGTCATTCCGCAATCCAGTGGGATTACTTATATTATTTTCATTCTTACACGTATATATCTACATGACTAAAAATCGTACACTATTTATAATTTATATATAATTAATAATTTATATATACTAACTCTATTTATAATCATCAGGTGTATATACAGGATTGCCAAATGTCCTCCATTGAGAAGAATTGTCCTGACTTTTGTTAACTTGTCGACCTTTAGAAATCTCAAAATCATCAAATTAACAAAAGTCAAGACACTATTGTAACAATATATTCTTGAGATCAAATAGAGTAAAATGTCTAGTACCATTTTTTCTTCTGATTAAATAGTTAGCGAGATATCGTAAGTTAAATATTGAAAAAGTTTTTCTTAAATTTCTCAAAAAATATTAGGTAAATAAAAAAATGTTTCTGACAAAATTTGTCAAAATTAATTGGTAGGAAAAGATGATATAATAAAAAATTGGGGTTTCCATTTCAGAAAAGTAATGTAAACATCTCGAAAATGGCACCATCTGTAAACAAAATGATATTGTTTTATGCCCCTCTTGAAACCATACAACTTTTGTCTGAAACGTTTTTTTCCAAAATGTTTAGTTTTCGAGATATTTCGCCATTCCGATATTTTTCATACACTTTGTATATGAAATATACAGGGTATAACATCAACATATAGGTTACAGTTACACATATAGTACGACGGATTGCCTACCCCCATTCGGACGATAATGCAGAGGTTGCCGAGAAAGTCACTCGTTGATCTTGTCAATAATAATATTTGCAATACTACCAGTTATAAGTGCAACTAATTTTGCACCGTGATCGTTTATGAGCAGCCGAGCCTCATAAATTAAAAAAAGAATTTTTTTTTTAAGTGAAATGAAGAAATAAATATTATGAATCTAAGCAGAGTTAATAGGAGTAATATTTAAGGAGTTAAATAATGCGCAACATATTTTCTTGTTTCGCATAATTTTTTAATTATTTTCTTGCATTGGAAAGTTGGATAGAAATTAGAGAAAAAATAATATAGAAATATTTAGAAGCCTTATATACTTATATACTGTTTTCCATCACTTTTGGAGCAGATTGGTTCTGCAAAAATATGAATTGACCAGAAACACAGCTTAAATTATTGATCGTAATTTAATTAATAATTACTATTAAGCGACAATTTTTGATATATAATCCTGTATTTTGATATTTTTGATGTCTCCTTTATCAAAAATAGCATTTATTTTTCAAAGTTATTGCAGCTTATAAGCAAATCAGAAGACTTATAAGCCACTCTTTTTTTATAAAAAAAGTTTAGAATACGAGCATTCTACACATTATAAGGAATTTTCAATAAGGTTTGACTCCTATCATAAACAATTCTAGTGCAAAATTAGAGTTGCATTGACCTGTATGTTGATGCTACACCCTGTATAATATATGCAATTAAAAATTGATGTTCGGAAAGATGACGAACACATTCCACCCGATGACCTATTTGTCGCTCATCAAACTTTTCGGCTATCCTTTTCTACCAACAAAACTGACTTATAAATCTGGCCACCTTAGGCATATATAACGCCAAGCCTTACACCCTACGTTATATATGTTTGTCGTTATAGTTGGAATTATTTATATGATTCTAAATTTTATACATATATGTGCAAGGTTGAAAATCATACAAGCAACCGTAGTTGTAATGGTGGGTATACATGACGCAAAATGTACTACGTGTGACAGAAAGAGATAACGGAAGGAATTCCTGCACATGAATGCACACACGTATGTAACCGTACACAAGTAGAAGGACAGAATAACAAATCCTACACATATATGCAACCTGAAAAAGCATGGCAGCCGAGTGTTGGCGATAAGGCAAGCTGAGAAAGAGTTTCGTTATGTAATCAAATAACCTTAGTTTCAAAGAGTGCGTGTTTCAGTCTTTTCTTGTTTTCATTCTTTTGTTTCTTTCTTTTGTGGGCCGTGCTTGTGTTCCTCTTCTTGCTTTTTCTCTTTTTATCCCGTTCTTTTTGTTCCCCTTTTACATTTCACATAGCACCCGACAAAAATATTCGCCGGACGAGCGATCTTGTATGAGAGAGTGCGCGGCAATTAAAACACGTATAAAGTGAGAGTAAACGAGGCGAGCGCGCGGAAAGAAACGGCAGCACGGTATAATTAGAAAGTGAGGAGTAGAAGAAGAGAGTGAAAAAACCGCGAGTGGGCAGGTATATGTGTGAGTAGAAGCGTTTGTGCCATTACGCACAAAAGAAAAGTGGAACTCTGTGTGAGCTTCAAATATATATATATATATTTCACAAGCTATTCTCACCTTTTTATGCCCCTCTTAATTTTATACTCTATTTTTTGCCGCGCGCTGATTGCGGCTGTACATGTAATGTTACTGCGAAAATTTTCTGCGAAATTCTGCGCTAAACAGACACGAAATAAAAGAAAAGGAAGTTACAGAAACAAATCGGCCGGTATCTGATTCGCAGTGATACGTCAGGCGAGCAAAAAATACAAGAAAAAAGAAGAAAGAGATCAAAGAAATTAAATGATGCCTCCGAAAGAAAAGGAATTAGCAAAGTTTTACGGGTGTGTGGGGGCAGAGTGGAAGGGAATGGTCGAAAGATGGAAAGTGGGAAAAGGAGGTGGGGAAGAGAAAGAGAGAGAGAGAGAGAGAGAGAGAGAGAGAGAGAGAGAGAGAGAGAGAGAGAGAGAGAGAGAGGGAAAGGGAGAGAGAGACGACGATCCTCGATAACAGTCGATCTTTTTTTCTTATCGGATATTTGAAATGCGCTTTCGTGTGTAACATTTGCCTGCAGGAATTTCTCTTATCTCATGACAAGTTGTCTGTGAAATTGGCCCCACGACTTTTAAATTACACAAAAATAACATGAGTTCTGGTTGCCTCCCAAAGAGTTCTAGAGTTCTATATTGATACCAAAAATAGTTCCGTCAATTAAAGCGACCAAAACATCAACTGAAAGCACGGGGGGCCAACTTCACGATTGTGTAATTTCAAAGTGCCATAACTTTCTTATCTTTAACTTTAGAGTGTTGATGCTTAAAGATAATCAATAGAACTCTTCGGGGGGCCACTGGAACTCTCGTCAGAACGCGGAAATTCCGAAAAAATTTTGGCGCGTTAGAATTTCGGGCGGCTGTAACTTTTACATTTTCGATTTGAACCCAACGATGCTGAAGGATAATTGATATAACTCTTTGGGGAGCTACCAGAACTTTCAACGAAACGCTAGAATTCCGAAAAAAATTTTTATCCCGAAGGGATTTGGAAAAATTTGCGTATCTCAAAGTTTTGACAGGCTATAACTTCGCTATCGTCGATCGGAGTCAGACAATTTATGAGGATAATTTGTAGAATTATTCGGGACTCCCACCAGAATGCGAAATTCCGAAAAAATTTTTGCGTGTTGAAATTTTGAGCGGCTGTAAAATTTCGAATGGCTCCCTGAAGAGTTCTACAAATTATTTTTATAAATCGTCTGGCTCCAATCGACGATAGCGAAATTATAGCCTTTCAAAATTTCGAGGTAGGCAAATTTTTTCAAATCTCTTAGGGGTAAAAAACTTTTTCGGAATTTCGGCGTTTCGTTAAGAGTTCTGATAGCCCCCCAAAGGATCCTATCGATTATACTTGAGCATCATTGAGCTCAGATCGAAAATGTAAAAGTTACAGCTGCTCGAAATTTCAACGCACAAAAATTTTTTTCGGAATTTCGGCATTTTGTTGAGAGTTCTGGTAGCCCCCCCCCCAAAGAATTCTATCAATTATCTTTCAGCATCGTTAGACTCAGATTGAAAATATAAAAGTTAGACGTTCAAAATTTCAACGCGCAAAAATTTTTTCGGAATTTTGGCGTTCTGTCTGAAATTCCAGTGGTCCCCGAAAAGTTCTATAGATTATCTTTAAGCATCAACATTCTAAACTTAAAGATAAGAGAGTTGTGGCACTTTGAAATTACACAATCGTGAAGTTGGCCCTCGTGCTTTCAGTTGATGTTTTGGTCGCTTTAATCGACAGAAATATTTTTGATATTAATACAGAACTCTAGAACTCTTTGGGGGGCAACCAGAACTTATGTTATTTTTGTGTAATTTAAAAGTGGGGCCAATTTCATAGATGTCATGACAAGCGGGTGGGAAAATACGAACGGAATACGAGCGCGCCGAGCGCTGAAACAAAAATCTCGCGTCTGATCCCGCATAAGATATGCTTCACAGCGCTTTGTCGATTGCATTAACATACTTATACATGGACATTTCGCGGCGTTTCCACGAACGTGACACGAGAAGAATCGGGAATTGGGTCAATCTTGGTTATCGAGTTCCGCATACAATCGTAAAATGCGACGATCAGAGTAAAAAGAAGCAACAGAAAAGCCCCGATGCGATGTGTCATAATGGGGAATCTTTGTAAAAGAACGAGGAGAAGGAAAAGGGGGCAAAGAGAAATTCTCAAAGAGAAAGAGAGAGAGAGAGAGAGAGGCACAAGACCGTTAACATAAATGGAAAACTAACGAAAAAAAGAAATGAAGAATCCGACAGAACCTTAGAAGAATCTTAAATACCGGAATATGATAACGCTGTGAGAATATTACGACGTGACGGGCCGGGGGGGGGGAGGGGACAGAGAACATTTGTTTCGTTTACGTGCGTTTTCTTCGATCGTTTATTGCCACCAGCTTATCGCTTTTGTATAACAGTTGTACGTCAATATTCAGTGCAGAGTCAGCTTCTCCCCTCCATCGATGTGTGTCCGCACGTGCGTAAACACGTGCGTATATGCGTATGTGTGTATGTGGTACGCGTCGCTCGTTTCGACACACCGTCTGGCTCGGGGAAAAAGGGATATATGATCAAATGTCGTGACTCCCCCGAGATTATGTTCATGCGATTTTCCGCTCTTGCTCGTCGGTTAATACCGTATCGCGGCGCTAATGAAGCCTCGCAGTTCACCGGCGATTCTCAAACGAATGTAATAGCAAGGAGAAACGCACGTCGGCGAGCGGGGCGTCTCGATAGAAACGGTATCAAAAGTCTTCTACGCATGTTTACGCGCGCTCGTTTTTCGTTTTTCTTTTTTTTCTTTCTTTCCCTTCTTTCCCAACGTACTTATTTTTTTCTAACGTGTGAAATCGTGTTCGCTCAAGTGTGCAGAACCTACGCGACCTACCTACGTGTATGCATGTGTGTATATATATGTATGTGTGTCGGTAGCTGGGTCGGTAGGTGGGTATGGGTGTGTGCATGTCTTTCCGACATACGCGTGTGTGCGCGTCGGAATTTCCCCCCTAGCTTCCTTGAACAGCTTTGTCATTTCACCGGTTGTTGTAATAACGATACTTCTACTTTACTGTTTCGCACTCAAACTTTTATTTGTATTTTATTAACTTTTTGTTGTTGTTGTTGTTGTTATTATTGTTTTATTGTTTTCGGTTTTTTTTTGTTTCTCTTTTTATTATTAAATCTACTTCTTGGTCTGCCATTCTGCCTTCTCGGACTTCTTGGGCTGTGAAGAACAACACAGATTGCCTAGTCAACTACTACTACTATTGCTACCAGTCGGATACATATATGAAAAAACGGATCTACTGGTCCTTTTGAGGAGATCGCGCCGAGGAGGGAGAAATACTACTATCCCTCGTACGTCAGCATTTCGAGCAAATGCATATCGCGGGCTGTTGATGGTCGAGCGACAATATGGTTTCGCGGTTAATCAATTTGCGCGAACTGAACGCTCTCAGGATGACAACGCCCTCATAAATTTCTCTGAAATTTTGGCGCGCTCCGATGAATCAGTGATCAATTACCGTGCGATTATCTGTCGCGCGCGAGATTTTGGAAAATTCAAGATCTAAATTAATCGATAAAATAGCGCTCCTCCAAATAGAGGAATGTGCGCGATGTAAATATTTTATCGGAACAAATACTTGCAATATCGAAATGTAAACAAGGACGAAAAATGCGGATCTCCTAAATTGGACACGGTACACAGAATGGAAAACTAGTGATACAAAGAAAACCTGCCGATCGGGTTTTGTACACAAAAAGGAAACCAGGGTCACAAAAACTGTTTTTCTTTCTGGTTCACTGAAAACATCGTGTACTATACTACTATACACTGTAGTACTACCTGCCCGTCATGTGGTCGTCAAAAATCAGCATCCCTTGTAAAACTTAAAATGCCGAAGAATTTATCGAGGGAGATCAAATTCGCAGAAATACAAGTCGTTTGTGCAAATTTGATTTGTAAATACTATCAATATAAATGCAAGCGAGAAGACGCGACAATGCGAAAGTATGCAAAAAGAAAACGCTGGCTTGTACTCTTGCAGAATTGTCTCTATCTCGATAAATTCGAGGGACGCTCTGGTAGATAGACCTTATAGGCAGGGAAAAAATAATTTGCGGAAGAGGAAACTTGCGTCGTGCAGACGCCAAGTTTCAATCGAAAACGATCACCCTTACCTCCTTATCTTCTTCTTCCAAGGTGAACTCCTTCTTTTTCACTTGTTTCAGCTGATTACGGAAGTTAAATTCGGCGGCCTTCTTCTGGAGTTTGGCGAACTTATTCTCGTATTTCGACACCTTCTTCAGGGTTGGCTTCATGCTGTAAACGAGAGAGCATTGCGCGCATTACAATGTGCGTCCTGTTGTAAGGATTTTCAAAACACGAATCGATTGTGTGATGCTTGTTGAAGAAATATCGATATGTATAAAAATATCATATATAGAATGTCTCTCTGATATAATTCGTACTTATTATTTACACAGTACTATTCTTTATGAAAATACTTTTGACATATTTTCCTTAGCGAAAATATCGAGAGAGATCATCATTTGAAGCGACTTTTCAATTTTCAAAATAATACCTATCTTTAAAGCTATATCTAAGATAAAAATTCTGTCGAAATAAAGTCCATTTGAAATTGAATTAAAATAATTTTGTTACTCATTTGATTACCCGAAGCTTAGCATGCGAAAAGTACCACTTTTAGGAGCTCTGTATCTCAAAAGTTAATATTTTAACATTTACGCTAAGAAAAAAATATTATATTATCATAAAGAATCAGTACCACATAAATAATGAGCGCAAATTAACAGATATATTATCTATATGTATAGAGTATATTTTATTTCAATTGCCTTAGAAATATATTTTAAGAAATATGAAAAATATGAAAAAACATTTCAAACAAAAATTGTAGAATATCAAGAGGAGTAGATAATATTGATATTTGTTTGATTTTATGTTTACTTCGAAAATTTTTGCCCAGGTCAACAATAAATTTTTCAGTAAGAATCTACTTTTTATAACAATTGATATTGAAACATTTTCAAAATTACTGACTTGTATTTTTTACACAAGTCATTCTTGGGATATGAAGCTTTAAAGTTGACATATTTGGTACTCGCATTACCCGATGTATATTGAAGGAAAATTACTAAGTCCGATGCGGTCCACGTATACATATACAACACATATGCAACGCAAGCACGTACATAAGATCGGCCCTTTTTAAAGTCACTGTATAAATCTGATCGAGCAACTTTTCAATGTACATAGGGTAATGCTGATGTCTAATGCTGGGTATACCAACTTTGAAGCTTCATACCTCGGTAATAGCTTATGCAAGACACCAATAGATAATGTTTTGAAAATGTTTCGACGTCAGTTACTATATAAATAAATAAGTGACAAAATAATTGAATGAGTAAATATAAATAACTAAATAAGTAATAAAAATACAAGTTCCGATTTAAAAATTTAAAATTAATCTTGACAAGGGTATTCAAAATAATCATAAAATCAAACAAATGCATTACCTGACAATTTTTATCTGAAAAACGTTTTCATATTTTCCATATTTTTGAGATATTTATGTGAAACTATTAAAGTAAAATAAACTATATATATATATATAAGGTATTCCATTTTAAAGGACATACTCAAATATCTCAGAAACACTGCGTTAAATCGAAAAATGCTTAAGACAAAAGTTGTTTAGTTTAAAGGCGGACATAGGACAGCGATAGCATTTTGCTTATAGATGGCGCCACTTTCGAGAAATTCACTGATTATCAATTTTCTTAAATGGTGTTCGGGACGCGACCGAACATAGAATAGCTCCGGAGAGCTGGCTGGTGAATTTCGGATCGCAAAGCAATGTCCGTCTACGACTATGTCGCTCGAGCAATTGGACGACCAACCGATCGTCCTGGCTGACGTCTGAGGTGTGTCGTAAGGCTGTCAAAAGCTTTGCAGAAACGCGCAACACCGCGTGCCAACAGCACGGTGCCCAGAGACGGCAGCGAAAACAAGAGAGAGGAAGGACACGCACGTGACGACGCAAAGAGGCACGCAATGTAAAACGCAACGGACGCAATAGAAACGCAGTAGAAACGCAGCTATTCACAAGGCGAAGACGTTCGCCAGCGCAAAGCCCCTGACGACATGCACGTCAGTGACGTCAACGGGGAGCGGCACCCGGAGCACGCTAAAGCACGCGGAAACGAAACGACCTCTGTCGTTTCGGAAGGCCTTCCGGACGCAACGACCTACAGTCAGCCACGGTCCTGAGGACGCGTGGAAAAGAGCGCTGAACTCTAGCAAGCAGAGGGCGACCTAGCTGCTCCCGCGAGAAGACAAAGTTCCCCCTACAGACACTTGGAAGAAAGAGTTCGAAGCATTAGAGGAGGCGGCCGAGCCCGCTCCTGAATCACGGCAACGCCGTGAGCACAAAAATAGAAGACGAAATTCGAACCATTAGCCTCAACCCAACAGGGTGTTTATCGGCGCCGCCTTCAACTCAGCAGAGTTGTGTACAGCGGTGGCTCGAATCCGAAACGTGAGAGCGAAACGAGCGCTTTACGAAATCCTAGAAAGCGCGTCGGTAAACCAGCTGTGCGATATAATTCGCAAATCATCAGTATCACAGATTTGCCACTGAGAACGGCGAAGCGAACAGCGAAACAAAAGTCAAGACAAAACATATCTAAGTACGGCGCGCCCGGTTATATAGCCGGGCGGCCGAATCTTACATGCGAGCAGTGGAATCGCGGGCTGCGCCACATAGCGGCCGCGGTCGGAGATACCAGACAGGCGCGGGGCGCCGGCGGGATTCCGCGCGCTCGCTCGCAAGAAACTAGCGTTCCGTGCTGCTTGCGAGAACGCCCCGCCCGCCCCGCAGCGCCGATCCGCTAGCCGAACTTTCCGCACGGCAGCCCGAGCCATACGGAACAAATGGAAATCCCAGTTATTTATTATATCATCTTTTTCTACCAATTAATTTAAACAACTTTCGTCTGAAACATTCTTTTATTTGCTTAATATATTTTGAGATATTTAAGGAAAACTTGGTAACTTTTCTAACATTTACTTTACGATATCTCGTTAACTATTCGTCGAAAGAAAAAATAGTATTAGACTTTTTTACTTTATTTACTATCAAGAATATATTACTATAATAGTCCTCTAACTTTTATTAACTTATCGACCTTTGGAAATTTCAAAATTATTAAATTAATAAAAGTTAGGGCACTATTATAATAGTATATTCTTGATAGTAAATAAAATAAAAAAGTCTAATACTATTTTTTCTTTCGACGAATAGTTAGCGAGATATCGTAAGGTAAATATTGGAAAAGTTACCAAATTTTCCTTAAATATCTCCAAATATATTAAGCAAATAAAAAAATGTTTCAGACAAAAGTTATTCAAATTAATTGGTAGAAAAAGATGATATAATAAAAAATTTGGATTTCCATTTAAGAAAATTGATAATCAGTAAATATCTCGAAAATAGAGCCATCTATAAACAAAATGCTATCGCTGTCCTATGTCCCCCTTCAAGGGGGGGACAAAACAACTTTTGTCCTAAGCATTTTTCGATTTAACGCAGTGTTTCTGAGATATTTTTAGTGAGTCCTTTAAAATGGGACACCCTGTATATGTATATATATTTCTATATATATAGCGAAAATATCAAGTGAAAATAATTAAATCTTAGGATTATGTCAATTTTGTTGCACAAATTATCAGTCAGATCAACATAATATAGACATTTAAATTAAAAAATTTAGTCAACGATAAAATGTTAACGAAAGTGAAACATAAAAGAAGAGAAAATTATGTATTCTTTTCTATAATTTCTTTCATAAAAAATTTTTTTCTAATTTATTGTTTTCTGGTAAAGCAAAATTATACTGTTAGTAGAATTTAAGTTCTTAGTAAAGAACATAATGAACTTTACTAAGAAATAATAAATAATAATAATGAACTTTTGAATAGTAGATTTCAGTTTTCTCTTGAAATATAAATAATATATAAGAAGTAAAAGAAAAATCAAAGAAATTAAATGATAAACATGATCATACAAATAACATGTTTGGTCAACTTTATAATCGCCTCATTCATTTTGTTTTATTTTGGAAATTAAACAAAAAATTAAAAGAGTAGTGAAATTTTAGGATAGTTAGTTCGACCTGAGATATTTAGTTTATTTAATTTATTTGGATTCGTTTCGGTTATTTTTTTATCATATATATTATGATATTTATTATATAATATATATATATATATATTATATATAATAAATGTATGATATGGATACTTACAATTTACCTCGGAGATCGTTGACCTGGCTGTTCAAATCTGCGATCTGTACGTATCGAATATTTTTATTAATATCTATTACATATTGACGCAACAATAATTTTATTTCATGCGCATTTTAATGATCTCTTTATATACAAAAATAAGAGTAGTTAACGCTCTCGGAATATGTCCATCGCGTGATGTGATGCAATGTATTTGCATTTGTAGAAATATACTCTATACCAAAACATACTCTATACCGACACGGAATCATACTTGGGGCAATATAAATAATGGCATCTAATTCATCCCCTTCACACTAAATGCGAGAGAAATATAAATTTAATTTTGATCAAATTTTTGCGTTTGATTCGGGCGATCACACGTCCGCAAGACATATTTTCGACTGGACACGATCGGAAGGAGAACGAACGTGTCCCTTCTGACGAGAATGTACTCCACGAAAATAAAACTCCTCGTTTTAAAACAAAGAAAATAAAAAAAAACAAAAAATTAATGATTTTCACGTACGAGAAATAAGAGAAATATCACGATGGAAACGCGTGTTAATAGACTAACGTAACAATCGTGCCACAAACTGTTAATCAAAAAAACAACAAAAATGAAAAACAAGACTAACAGGAGAGTCCACTCACACCGACATGCGTCCTTCGTGGCAAAAGCAGGTAAAAGAGAATAGAATAGAGATAGAATGAATGAATAAGCGAGTAAGAGAGAAAGAGAGAGATATACAGAAAGAGAAGAAAAGTATTAAAAAAATAGAGAGATGCATAGAAAAATGGAGAAATGGAAATACAAAGAGATAGAAAAACAGAGAAATAGGAAAGTAGAGAAATAAATAAATAAATATACATATATATATATATAACGAGAGGAGGGGGGGGGGTAAAGAGAGAGAGGAAGAAGTTATCATATGTTTAGCAAGCGCACAGATATATTCAGCTGACCACTCGATGTGTCGAGATTTACAGTAAATTGGCTTGCGGGTTAACTGCAATAGCGATTGATAGCGATACCTCCGGATTGGAGGGGCGGTTTTGCAATGGGAGATGGGAGATAATTAAAAATAATGATAAAAAGACTGTATGGAAGAGTGAGAGAAAAAGGAAAGGCAGCGGACTATAGAAAAGGTAGTAACCATGAGATCAATATGCTTAGCAGAGAGGGGGCAGTAAATAGTCTTGCTACATTGTGAAAACTTACGATGAGTTTCGAGAACACTTCCGAAAACTCCGTGGAGCTCGATAAAGAGAAAGAATTTCCGCGGGAATCTGCTCACTAACGAGAATCTCTTGGTAATCGGTCGCGAGAACGAGATAATCACGAGCTTTTTAAGTCGTCGAGATAATTTCACTCATCGCTTTTCAAAGTGTACCGGCAACGCGCGACGCGGTGGAAAATCTTTTTGGTCAGCTGTACATAGCGCGAAAAAAGAATGAGAGAGAAAGAAATAACATACGATTTATACGGAATTCGAGGAAATTTATACAACATCGCAACTACCCGCATAGAAAAAAATAATTCCACAGGATTTTTCCAGATACAAATAATTTCAATTAAAATCTTCAGATTTATCTTCAGATTTATTCTAAAATTGGTTATTCGATTATATTAATTGAAAATCTTATCAGTCTTATCTTATGGGAACACAGGTTTTTCATTTAAAATCAAACTTAGGAAACTTTTGGGTCTTTTTTTATTTAGCAGTGTATTTGAAATATCAATCACTCAACTGAGACATGTACTTGAAATATGTCCAAGAAAGCTTAAAAATATCGACAAGACATCTAAAATTCTGAAACGTCTTTTGAACATCTTTAAAACTTCTAGATACTCTCTGCAGCCGTCTTAATTTATAACATCGAACGAAGCGAACAAATATATACTCAAAATTTCCGCAAAGTTAAAATAACGGAATGTATCTAAAAAATGACATTATAGCAATCAATTAAATATATTTGTAAAATATTCTGAGCAATTTATTTTCATTTTAATAAACAATAAATTACCATAAAATTAACGTGACAGAATCATAAAGAAAGATTAGTTGCATGTCACTGATCACACTGATTTTTTATGATTAGTTTATCGACTGTTAAAAGCACTGTTAAAGCAAAAGGAGAGTTTTTGAATATTTTATAAATGTGCTTAGTCGATTGCAAGTATCATTCTTTGGGCATATTTCTTTATTTCAACGTATTTCATAAGAATTTTGAGCATGCATTTTTCTTCATTTCTGACGTCATAAATTAAAGTGGCTGCGGCGAGTACCAAAGAGCCTAAGGAAAGATTCAAACCTGAGCAAAAAAGCAGAAAGCAGAACAGCAGAAGCCAAGAGAGAGAGAGAGAGAGAGAGAGAGAGAGAGAGAGAGAGAGAGAGAGAGAGAGAGAGAGAGAGAGAAAGTGACTCGTCTCTTGCAAGAGAGAGACAAATTATCAGCGCGACTTTTGACTGAATGCTGTTTTTTTCTTTTTCGCCTTTTTTCCAAGGTGTGAATTCTCCCTAAGACATTTTTCATAGATATGCGTATTGTGTAGATTTCATCTCTAACTTGAATATGCCTAAATTATGAGAAATTGGTGCAGATCTCAATTAGAGATCCCAAATTTTCTATGCGGGTTGTTAGATTACGTTAAAAAGAAAAAAAGAAAGAAATTAAATAAAAAAAATGAGACGATATCTCGGCGAGCATATCACGGTAATAAGGAATCGTGACTCGTACGGTGAATGGACACTCTTTTAAATCCGACGTGTACAGATTGACCGTAGACAATGCGGAATTGTTTTCGCAGGAATCTCCGACGAGTACTTGCAAGATCCGTCGCAGAGAATTGTCGTGAAAGAACGGGGAAATTGCACACAACAGGCCGGAACGTATTACACATCTATATAACGACTATCCAATCGACTCGTTATAGTCGTCATCGTGAATAGCCCCGTTCCTGAAAGTATTTCTATCGCTCTTACATAGGTAACACTAATCATTCTACTTTTCTGGGACAGCTTCTTCAAGAGTGAAGCTTTTGTACAAAAGCCACTTGTCGGATTCTCTCCCTTTCTTCTTAGGAATCGCGTTCGGTTTCATTCCGTCCTTTTCTTTTTACTTCTTTTCTTCTTTCGGTTTCTCCCACTCGTGTGAGTTACGAGAAAGGGAGAGAGAAAGAGAGGGGGGTGAAAGGGTAAAGGGAAGACGACAAAAGAGAGAAAGAGAGAGAGAAAAAAGAGAAGAAACAGATAAAAAAGAAGGACGGGATGTACAATGGGATGTGAATTTCATTCTGGCCAATCAGGGGACCGGCTGGTCACGATCAGCCCTTTCGTCCTCCGTAGATGATGAGAAAAAAATTACAAAATCCACTATATACAATCCGTTTTCTAGATTGCCAGAGCTCTGTTCCTCTTGTATAAAGCATAAAACTGATTTCGATGTCGATGTGAGATCGATGCCCGGCCGATTTTATCGACTACTTTTCTATTACGCGCATATTTAATCGCACGCGTGTGCCGGTAACACTAATATTTTTAATGAATTTTGAATCGACGGACTAATTGGCAATTAATCGCTTAACGATTGTAAATCGTAACGAGCTGAAAATTGATGATTGCTTCGTAAAACTATTACGACACACGTTATAACAGCAATTCATGTCGCGATAAAAAGACAGTATCGCGCACGAATTATCCAATAATGTTTTCCGCAAGGCTCCTCCTGGTTATTTTTCCTGACTACGTTAATTTATGACGTCAAAAATGAAAAAATATACGCTCAAAATTCTCGTAAGATAACGTTTACAATTCGTTTGCAAATCGTTGCGATAATGTTTACAAAATGTCACTTTTAAACAATCGAACAGATCTGTAAAACAATCCGAACGCTTTCCTTTTGCTTTAATGATCAATAAATCAAATTAATATTATAAAAAATTGTCATGAGAAAATATAGATTAAAGAAATAGAGCATATGTCACGTTAATTTACTGATTGTTAGAGAAAAGGAAGTACCCAGAGTTTATTTACAGATTTGGTCAGTCAGTTGCAATCATAATTTTATGGATATATTTGTATTCTGCAAGAATTTTGAGCCCACATTTTTCACTTCTGACGTCATTGATCAAGATTGCCAAACAAGTAACCAAGAACTTGAAAAGGATGTAAGAGTGCCGCCGGACGTTGTAAAAATTTCACGACAATCACGTCATTTCGACTGTATATGTTTAGAAATCTTTTTGTATTACAGTCCAATACTGTAATGCCTCGCAGGAGCAGACACTCTGCACCAAAAACAAAAAAATATTTATAAATGTGGCGTCTAAAGCTATATATCTCTGAGATAACATGTGCTTTGTATAAAAGTTACGAGGTTGTCACGAACAAAATAAACTTTTACCGCACCACGCAGAATGGTCATAGGGAAACTAATCAATAATGCAAAAACATTTTCAAAAGCTCAGAGAAGGTAAAATTTGTCATGTAACATTGCGTGCGCGTATTTCCCAAGATGTAAGTAAAACAGAGCACGAACTACCATACGCAGCGTACATAAATTATTACTATGTACGGGGCATTGCCCTCTTTTATCTCTACTTTATGACTTCTGAAGGCAGTCTGACATCCTCTTGAAACGACGCGGACAAAGCATGCGGATCATTCTGTAAACGCTGTTCAACGGATTATCGCGCGGTTACGCGAGCCTGAGAAAACTGCGGGAGCCGAGAAGAAATTCCAATCATTCCGGCGGAACTGCTCGTGGATTTACAACGACGTGTAACAGCAATCTCGTTATCGAAGGACGACAAGAACGAGACAATTCGCTTTTCGAAAACTCGCCGGGAAAGTGAACAGAGTTCTGCCAATGGAAGGTCCGCTATTTACAGCCTAATTGAACACCATGACAAGAGGACACGGTGGTGGTGCGTGCGAGTCGGTGCAAAATCAATTTCCCTTCACTTTAAGAAGTGCCGTAGACGCCTGTACACGTATTTCTGTATGTCGGCGTCTCTCTCGAAAATTCTATATAGATGTACATATTTACTGTCCATCTC